TTGGTCCTGCTCGGAGTGGATAGTGTAGGGACTGATGCAGTGCTCCTTCTGGTTTCACCCCTGAACAGCTGGTCTTTTTTAGGCCATCTCACAGCGGGGGTAGGGGGATTCTTATGCCCCTCAAACAAGTCAGCTCTCACACATTTGAACTTTATGAACTCTAAACTAGGGACTAGATAAAGAGATTCATTGTTAGTACATCTGTGCAGTTTCAGTTGAGTTTGACGTGTGGTTTTGCTGTTACAGTCATTTGAAGTTCACAGCAAAAACTTGTTGCTTACCAGATGACAACTCGAAATGGCAGCGTTGTGGTCATGTCCATCACAAGTCGTCCATGAGTCAGACCGCAAGTTAAACTCGAGGAAAAAAAGCAAGTCAGTCACAGGTGTTTAAGTGGCCAAGCTGCAAGTCCGGTCACAAGAAACTCAGGACACTAGTGCAGTTCAGACTGGTTCATACATGAACGGTGAAACTGTGACGTCGGATTGTATGTTCGTCTGCAGAATTCACAAAAGTTGTGCAACTTCCAGCTCAAGCAAATTTTGATGCAAATGCTTCATAATGTTCGCTTTGCTTTTTTTCATTACCTTAAGGTAGGAACTGGCCTTCAGTTGTACCTAAGTTCTCGGGCTCAGTGCAGCAGGATCGGTTCTCAGGATTTCTTTTCCTCTCTCACCTTGTGTTCTCCAGACACTCCAGCGCGAGATGAATGACAGCCGGCCCCAGGTGGAGGACGTCATGCTGACCACGGAGGGCTTCATGCGCCAGCACAAGGAGCGGCTGGGACCCGAGCAGCAGGACGTCCTGCAGCGCGGCATCTACGACTTGCGCTCCCACTTTGACAAGGCCAACCACAAGGCCCAGGACTGGACCAGACAGATGCTGGACAAGGTTGGCTAGCAACTCATCCTTTTTTGTGGGGGATCCTTGGCACACCTTAACTTGTTTCAGGGTAAACCACTTCACCCTGGATGACATGCAAACACGCAGGGATTTCCTTTGTTGTAACTCAGAGGAGGTTTGAACATGTTCTAGTCTATTCTGTATCAAAAGTACTGCTGGGTGACATCTGTATTTGTCCCCGTACTTGATTGGTTGCCATGGAGTTTAGAAACACACAGAGGGTTGAACTGCTCCTAGACATTGAGCGTGTGTTGAGCCCTCAAGTTGCCATTGCCCGTGGACCGGGCATTGTAGCAAATATCGCTCCATGACACTGTCTTGGCGATAATGTGTGTTAAGAAATGTTGCACCTGTCTTGAATCCATGACCACCATGGATGGATCAGAATGATGAAGTCCAGCTTAATGATGGTCTGCATTTGTGGTATCTCATCATTTGAAAAGTCAGTATCTTCATCCAAAAATAGTACCGTGCCTGGGACAGCTCTGGAGTGGGCTAACACCTTCGGCAGGTGGTCAACCCTAACCATTCTGAACCCAACATGTTTATGCAGGATTTCAAGTGAATATTTTTATATCACCTTTCAACACTGCTTTGTATCAGTATCAAATTAGACACTGAGCAAGAAAGACTTCAGAGAATACTCAAATTTTTGTTTAGCATGTACACTTCCGTAGGCCCTATTGATTGTAGGTCCTTGGAATAGTGCATGCTACCGTAGTTCTGTTGAATAATCTGGCACTGTCCACTTGTCCAGTGTTTGACCTGTTGGCACGCTACAGATGATGGCCTTTGAGATCCCTTCACTTGTATGAATTCATTTGAAATTTTCTGAATTCTTCTTCCCCGATAGTTGAACCTCCTGCGCGAAGTCCAGGAGAAGATCAACACCCTCAGCAAGCTGGTGGACTGGGTCAGCGACATAGAGAACCAGATGGGCAGCCAGCAGCCGATGAGCGAGGAGCTCCGCCAGCTGGCCGAGCAGCATCGCCAGCAGAAGGTGAGGCAGAAATGGTCCCAGCGGCCTCTGTCAAGGGACACCCACCTGGGCATTTTGGCATGGGCCTCTGAAATGGCCCGTGCAGAAGACGAGTTCAACCTTTTACTTTGCCCCAAGTCTTTGCCAAGAATATCAGTTTGTTTGTACTTTTCTTCTGAGTGTAAGTTTGTGTGATATTGTGCCATGCAGATTGTGTATGACGACGTGCGTGCCCGTCACGAGCCGGTGATGCTGGCCGTGCACAATGCTCAGTTCCTGCTGGAGACTCAGCCGGACAAGCTCAGCGAGAGCAACAACAGCAAGCTCAAGGAGTACTCCAGCGACCTCAAGGTGAGCACTTGAGATCACGAGTCAGACTGGAGTCCCAAAATTGTTTCTCATTTTGAGCATAGGCTGGAAATGCAAAAACCTTGTATTTAATCTTCAAACCAACCATGTTATCAGAGAAGGGCAGAGACAGATCAGACAAATGAATCTGGAAAACGAACTTCTGTTAGAACAAAGGAATTTCAGGAGCCTCCTAGTTTTATGGAACTTAATGTACGCACAAACTTAATTGCAAGAAAACTGCCAAGAAATGTGAAGAACACATTTGCTCTTTAAGGTGAAATGTGATTTTTTTTTCAAATGTCCAGAATTTTGAAGTACTCGTGTAATGTGTGGAGAAACAGTCCGGCCAGAGTTTTTCAAATTGACTATTTCCTACTGGCAGGTTCGCTATGACCAAGTGAACACCAGCTCGGAGACACGCAACCACCATGTCACCTCGGGCTACAACGAGCTGCAGAAGTTCGACCGGGAGTTCTCGTCCTTCGAGACCTGGCTGCGCTCGGCCGAGCGCACGCTGGACGCCTACCTGATGGATGTGGCCCGGGACCGCGATGCCCTGCGCAAGCAGGTGGCCAAGCTGCAGCCCTTCAACGAGGAGGTGGTGTCGCACTCGGCCGACCTGCGCTTCATGAACATCTCGGGCCAGAAGTTCTTGGACGAGAATCAGGTATCCACAATGTTGTCGTTTAACCCTAAAGAGTTTTTCAAAGATGTTACCCCCAAGATCGTGGCTGCCCCATTACCAATCGGTTTGAAACTTTACATGCCTTTTACGACATTCATCTTTGGTACATTTGCAAAGTTTGAATTGAATTGAGCATGGGGTTTTGTTTTAATGGTCATATATATAATACATGCCGTCAAACACGTCAGCCCATGTAGATTGAGCATATGTCAATGAGAAAAAATTAACATCATTGACTTACCTGTTTCAGGAAATGTGGACATTTGGTGAGCATTGTATGTCAGTCTTTCTTGTCAAACATATGTAACTATGATCGAAATGTATAGAAAATTTTTCATTAGCTCATCTAGCTTATTGAGCATGGACGATGTATCGACAGACTGGCTCTGTCTTCAGAAATTTGGTGGCACTACACCGTCAGGTTTAGATGTGTATTTCGTTGCCTCCCTTCATGCCAATGACATCCTTTATGCGTGTTGCGATGACTTACCTTACTGAAGACAGCATCTGAGCTTATCTCCAGAGTTGGTAATGCCCTCTTACCCCTCATTAATTGCAACGATATTTGTCTCCTTCCCTAGGACTACCGCCACAAGCTGACCCAGTTCCGGGAGACGGTCATGAGCAACCAGTTCCTGCGCAGCTTCCGGCTGGAGCCCGAGTCCAACATCATCCGCAGCAAGCTGTCGGACGCCAACGAGCGCTACGAGCGGCTGAAGCTGAAGTGCAACGACCACACCCAGCGCATCCTCTACCTGCTCGGTAGGATGCCATCTCTTGATATGTTTTCTTTTCGAAGCGATCAAAGAGGTTTTGGAGTTGTTGTTTTTGTTTTTGGTTTTTTGGGCCACAACAGGCATGAATTTGCAGTAAGCCAATTTGGTATTTTAAAAAGGCAACGTAATTCAAGATTAAAGCACCTGACATCATGCCAGCTCGAGCAGACTCAGTGTGTGTGACTTGGCATAAGGCCGCGCTGATACGGCTGACCTCACACATATATGGATGTTCTTGAATAACCTACGGCTCACATTATCTTTTGCATGTGCTGCTGGAATACCAAACTGGCTCATTGGTTATTAATCGTAATTTGAAACATCCAGCTTATTTATTGTTGAGAGTTAAGAAAATTGCAATACACAAATTTCAGTGGAGCCCAAAAAAATATGGGGCCGTTTTCCAATACTCAACTTCGGCTCCGTCTCAGGTTTCAACTGTTTTTTTACTAACTGACTTTAAAGCTTTAAGCACAGTAATCAGTCTAATAGTGCCACAGAACATCAAATAAGATGCAAGAGAGCCAGAAATTACAGTAATCCAATGTAATTTAAACGCTTCAGGCCCACAATCGGGGATTGGTTTTGGGAACAAAGCCTGAGACGGAGACGAAGTTGAGTATTGGAAAACAGCCAAAGTGGAAGTTGTCCTGTTGGAAAATATGATTATGAGTAACTCTCGGACAATTCACAGCTCGTGAATTTGCCAAATTATAAAAGATCATTAAATAGGTAAAATAATGAGGATTTGATTGGGTTTGTGAGGTTGGGTTCCTACGAACTCCCAGAAATCACCTGATTTTACTCAAGCATGGCCCCTCCTGGAAGGACGTTACAATACAAGCTCCTGTCTCATTTCTCATGTTTAGGCTTGCATGAGAAATACCGCACTGCTGTAGACTCCGCACTGACCTGGATCGACAACACGACCTGGGAGATCGATGAGATCACCAGAGAGCCTCTCGGCGAGAGCCAGGAGGTGGTGCAGCAACAGATTGACCGCATCAAGGTGAGGAAACGAATACTAAAGGCCGCCACCTTGGGAGGGTTCCCTTTGCTCCAGGGAAAGGATGTCCTAGGGGTTCAAAGGGCATGATGCCGTTAACTTAGGCCTTATCTGAAACGGGCTGTCAGAGCTGTGGCTATGTCTTTAGTCGGTGCACCGCGTCGGTATTTCCAATGGAGCAAAGTTTGGAATCGTGTTTTGAACATGGCGAGTTTCAAAGAAGGGTTGTATTGTTGACAGTGGCTCTCTTCTCGCCAACCTCCATAGGGAGTCCAAGATGACGTGGCCCGTCACCTCAAGACATTGAGAAAGTAAAGGCGGCTGGCAACGAGCTGTCTGAGGAGCAGCCAGACCTGAAGCCCAGCATCGACAAGACCGTCAGTGAGTATCCAACCCCAATGGCCGTGTCTATCTTCAAGGCAAAGTTGGTGCAGTATTGTCAAATTCTTGTAGCCGACACCCCCTCAAGACCATCACATAGCCAACGCAGGATCTCCAGTCTGAATTCAATTCTCAAGCTATTCAAATGAACCTCAACAAAAGCATCCTTTTGCCATTGCTCACCCTGCTACTTGCGACTGGTCTTGTAACTAGTTTTGTGGTGACCCATGTTGACTAAGCTTGTTGACTGGTTCCCTTGTCTGATCTTGTGATGGTCTTAACTAATATGCTGATATTGTGGCATTATTAAATTGTAAACTTGAGATACGCTCGTTCTTAGAAATGCGAATGAAATTGTCTCGTATTGAGTATCTAACCAATTGAGGGATACCTTGACAGGTAAGTTGACAAATGCTGTGCCATTTTACTGGGAAATTTTGTCTTTTTGTGCTGTTTCTGACACATAAAGCCTAGATTTTGTGAAATAGAATAATAAATTTCCTCCTTGATGTTTGTTTTGGGAATTTGCACAATGAAAAAGTGTGCTTATTAAAAGTGTTATATTCTAAAAAAGTCAGGGTCTTTGTGCTGAAAAAACTTGAGTGGAAGACCAGCTATAAGCATTTGAATTACAGAGTGTTCTGGCTGGTGACCCATTCTTCACTAAGCATTGCTTCACTGAGCTAAGCATACTGCTTACCAAGCACTTCCACTAAATTGTACACAAAGTCTTGCGTGAAGAACCTTGCGCCAACTTGCCACAGAATTAACATGACATTCGCTGCTCCTGTTTTTTTTTCTCTTTCAGACGAGGTGGTGACCAAGTACAACAACCTGGACGTCTGCATGGCCACCCGCAGCAACGACCTGCACACGGCCCTGCGGGACATGCATGGCCTAGAGGAAGGCCTGGACATGACTCAGAGCTGGTTGGACGACCTGGAGCGCAAGCTGATGCGCATGGAGGGCGCCAAGGTCACTGTCAAGCGGGAGCCCATCCTGGAGGAGATCCAGAACCTCAAGGTGAGTCTGGCGAGCCGTGATGGTGGGGGTCAGAAGCTACAGTGGTGGGAGTAAAAGTTACATGATAGAGTGTTGTCAATCTAGAAAGAGGTGAGACAAGTTGGGATTTGGGGGTTGGAGAGGTTAGGATGGTGGGAATGAAAGCGATCAAATGCTAGGCAGGAGCACATCTTGAAAAGATGCAGAAATTGAAGGCGAGTCTTGGGGTTGGAGTTGTTGGGGGTCAGAGGTTAGGATGTCAGAAATGAAAGCCATTGACTGGAGTCAATGAAGGAGATCCAGGACCTGCAGGTGAGTTTGACAGGTCAGGATGTTGGGGTTTAAAGGTCAGGATGGTGGAATTTTGAGCCCCTGTTGTGACTTACATTCATAATTGACATTGTGATATTGGTGATTTTTTACATCCTCAGATCCTGGAGCAGGACCTGAAGCATCACCAACCGGACATCCAGAAGCTGACTGAGCGGGTCGCCAATGTTAGCCAGACCTCCAACCCCATTGTGGCCCGTAACCTGCAGGCGCAGATGGACGGGATCAACCAGCGCTACAACAAGCTTTGCAGTGGCGTGGACAGCTACGACGATGACCTGCGGGGCATGCTGGACAAGCTGGGCAAGCTCCTGGACGATGTGGACCAGCTGGAGGACTGGCTCTTCCCGGTCCTGGACACACTGGAGTCGCGGGACCTCAAGAAGCAGGAGATCCCCGAGATCGAGCGAGCCATACAGGCACGTCTCTTCTTGGTTTTGGGGTTTACGGGCTTTGCAGTTTGGGGGATTTTGAGGTTCTTGTCTAAGATGTGATGCACATTGGAGCCATCTTTGTCTAGTTCCCTTAGTTTGTGTTCTTTTTCATAGGGTCCAGAATCATCTGTATTGGCACCAGTCTATTTTGAATGTGATGTTCAATTTTGGTGGACATAATCATAAAAAGGTGTTGGATTATAGGAAAATTTACCAAGGTAGATATAAAGATAATTTGGTGTTGCATGAAATCAGATGAACCCCTTGAAGTATTTGGAGTAATTTTGAATGTAATTTGAAAGTTGTGTCAATATCAGCAGTCTGCAACTGACTGTCATGTTATGACAGTCTTTTTCCCCAGGTGAACTTTGATCTGGAGTAAGGTAATTGAATAGCTACATACATCAACACACACCACATTTCAGTGTTTATTTGCCCAACAAATATTCCCTGGAGCTCTGAGGATGTTGTCCTCGCTTTAAACATAATTGCATATACGTCTGAGATTTAAGTATCGTCGCATTCAAACACTGACTTTGCATTCCATGTTCATGTGTCTGGCAACAAATCTCTTAAGCTGTCAGAACATTGCCTGTCCTCACATGTAAGTCCTCAGTCTGTTTGGCACCTCTTTGAACAACTGTGCACACATCCGTTCTCTCGCAGAAAATCACGCGGGAGGTGGACACCCACACACCCGAGTACAAGCGCATTGGCAAGGTGGCGGAGGAGCTGATCAAGCACCACCGCACCCGTGACCCGACCTTCGTGGTGGACCTGATGAAGAGCCTGGACAGGAACTGGCAGACCATGGAGGAGGCCCTCACCAGGCTGTAAGTGGCCAGGCTGGCTAGGACTGGAAAAGCCTGAAAAAAGCAAATATGCTGACTTGCCTGGGCAGGACTTCAGCACATAACCTTCCGCTTGCCATTACAGATATGCTCCTTGCTTGACCCCTGTGACCCAGTGAATTGATATCTGTTCCAAGTAGCTGGTGCAGTGGTCGGTCCCAAATGATGGAATTTTTTGGCAGGATCCTTGTCATTAAACTGTCGATCACCCGACACAGGTGTCTAGAATCAAGCATTCATATATTCTATTGGAAGGTAGAGACCCAAGTTTGAATCGGTCCAAAGTGGGAGTGTTGGACTCCATTAATTCTGAGCTTCTGAATTTTCACCAATTTATCTCGATTTTTTTCAGAAGCAGAATTGAGAAAGACTCATATTTTGAACTTTGGGAGGGTGAAATTTAAAAAATAAAGAGAGTCTCTCCTCATTTTGTCAAACTCCATGCCTGAATAGAGAGGAACAAGTTGCCGTAAAGGATCTTGCTTGTGGACACTCACATATGACTCTGCCAATTTCTGGCCTGACTTTTGAGACATCGGTGGCCACAGCAGTAATTTCTGTTGTTTCTGTTCCCCAGGAACGACTACCTGCAGGAGAGGAAGCAGATGCACAACAAGTACCGCAACTCGGTCAAGGTGGTCAGCATGTGGCTGGAGAGCACCCAGGACAAGTTTGACCAGCTGCCCAACATCGCCCGGGACCTGGACGCCCTCAAGAACCAACTGGAACAGATGAAGGTAACAATTCAACCTCCCTCCCCGACCAAACACGGGTGATCTTGTCGAGCGTGTAGTTTTGTATGGGAACCCAGCAACTCTAGTCTTTTCAGAACAGAAAGTTGAGTTTTGGCTTTGATATTCGCAAAAAACCAGGAAATCATATCCCTGCAACCTGACAATGCAAATAGTTCCAACCGTATGTCATTATCAATTTGGTCACAGTACACTGGTATGTACATGTACAAATCTTAACAGTCATTGCCCTTTGAAATATCAAAACCTCCACATTGCCAGTGACTGTAAATTACAGTTGGCAGAAATCTATTTATTTAGAATCATCTCTGATCATCAGCGAAAGCTGATCATTTGGGGTAAAACTAAGGCTGCCGCAGTGGTATCTTTAAACCGCATGCAATTAGTATTTGTATTGAAAAATTGATTTGGCTGGTTGATCATGTTTTGCCTAAAACTTTGGTGATTGGAGTAACTATTGCTCGACAAATACAAGAACACAAACTTTGATAACGTGTTTTGAAAATGAAGTTTCTCTAACACACTCTAGGCGAGGTCTGACAGATAATTGTTCTTTTCCCCGTCAGCCCCTGAAGCGTGAGGTCACCGGCTTCAAGCCCAAGATCAACGAGACCTACGAGTTGGGCAAGTCGCTGGACCAGCTCATCCAGGCCGCCGAGACGGTGGTGACCAATCGCCGGCGCTCCACCAAGGTGGCCGGGGGCGACGTGGCCCAGATGGAGCGGCGCGTGGTGGAACTCCAGCAGAACTTCCAGGTGTCGGAAGGTGAGGAACCGGGGAATCTTGAGCAGGGCACCAATATCTGGATTTGGAGAACTGCCACACACAGCCTAAGCTTTGACTGACTATACTTCTTAATCTGTCATACAAATCTGGCCCACAGGCCTTATTGAAGATCTTGTGAGGTGAAAATGTAATAGTCCTAAAGAGCTACAGCAGTCCCATATTAGAAACTTTGAAGTGGCCAACTTGAAACAAGTCTACATCCAGATTTCAGCAGAATAACGCACAGAATTCAGTATCCCACATTAAAATACAGTGTCATTTTAGTAAATGATAAATTATATAACCTTTGCAGTTTCCATAAAATTTACGATCACAAAGGGAAATCGCATGTTTTACGCTCTGTTATTTGATTTGGAACATGCTCAAGAGTCAAAATATCAAGTAATATTTCATAAAAACTTTTCAGTTTAGAAGCAAATCATGTGACATGAAGTTGAAGGAGCAGTTTTTCTGCACATTTGTTTATCGCCCAACATTTGTGGGCTTGCTTTGGATGATAGTTATATTATACTTAAAAATATATATTTGTATTCATGTCAAAAGACATCAAGAAGTTATCGTGCAGTATTTTTAAAAAAATATTCCTGAGGTATTTACTGCATTTTATATGCAACATTCAGGAGCTTTTTTGAGGAATTTGTATGAAAGCATTCAATCTTTTGACGTCTACGAGCATTCTTCAGACTATGTTGAATATAGCAAACAGAGTCTTTTTCCTATAAAATTGATGTAAAAAAGAAAACTTAACCTAAGCTAGGAATCCAAGGAAAGCTTCATAAGAAATAGGCAGAACATAATTTTGGTTGGTATAAAAAGTGCAGTGGAATTCAAGGTGATCTTTCCTTTACTGTCTCCTAGACACGGAGGTGATGCGTGAGGTTAAGGGCCTACGTACTGCCTACGAGAACCTGGACAAGAGCGTGGTGCTGCGGGAGGAGGCCATCCAGGAGATGTACGAGATCATCCGGCAGTACAACGAGCGCAATAAGGACCTGCAGGCCCTGCTGGACTGGAGCCGGCCCATCAAGGCCAAGCTTCAGGAGCCCATCCCGGACATCCGGGATGTGGCGTCCCTGCAGGCCATCATCACGGACCACAAGGTACCTGGAATGCTTGTGTTGGTTGCTTAATAATGAAAAGGCCACTAGCCTTGAAATGCTGAACCTCGGAATGGGTAATTTGCAATTGACTCACGGTTAACCTTTAATGACTTGTGATAGCCTGAGTATGAGTAGTAAGTGGTTAAAAGGTCAATCATTCAATCAGCTCACCATTTAGTAAATAACTGTCTTTGATGTGAAGGTTGCCAGCCATGATTCTCCAATCTTTCTCTGATTGTTCAGTTATTCCATTCATCTCGCTAATTTATCCCCTGACAGGCGCTGCACTCGGAGCTGGTGTCGCGCCGCCCCGTCATGCTGGAGGCCATCCAGAACGCCGAGCACCTGCTGCACGACCGGCGGGACAAGCTCAGCCCCCAGCAGGTGCAGGAGATGCAGCGGCGCATCGACGAGCTGCGGGAGTGCTACGAGAACCTGGTGGGCCTGTCCCTGGAGCGGCTGAACGCCCTGAGGGACATGCTGGCCCAGCTTGACTCGGAGCAGAGAGACAAGGTGAGGGCTGCTGGGGGAGGGCTTTGTAAGAGTTCGGACCTGAGGTTGACTTCGCCTCAAACCCTAGCAAGGTTTGTTCAGCAGCCTCTCCGAGGCATTGCTGCAAGTACTGTGTTGAGCCTTCCCAAGGTCGCTACGAAACACCCTTTTATATTGCTTAAAGGTTTGTGGTGACCACTGTTGGAATAATCAACTTTGAGAAGTGGAGTTCTGATAAGAACTGGTGGCTCGGGAGCAACTTTTCATGCTGTATGCCGTGGTCGTTTTCTGGAGGAATTAAAGTGCTGTCTTTCACTTTGCAACACCCAGGGCTGGATTTCAAAGAGCTGTTGAATGGAAAATATTGCTAACCTAATTCAGGTGCTATTAAAGGCAAAAATGAGCCAAATTCCAGTCAAGGGAGATACACATTGTAGGACTTTTTGGCCAGTAATCTATTTTGTTTGCTAAGCAAATATTGACTTTCCCGAGGAAAATTTCTTTACTTTGCAGTTTCTACTAGTTTGTCCGTGGTTCCCTATATGAGTAGCAAGTAGGCAAAACATAAAGATGTGCTGAGGTTTCTTGTCCAAGAGTAAATATTTTCCAGATGTGAAATGAAAGTTCCATCACTTGTCTAACCACTGGACAGTAGTTTTTTTCAAAGTTTATTTATAACACTACAGCTAAGACCAGGACACAGGTTAATACTTTTGTCTCAGTGAATTGTCTCAATTTTTGACTTCTCTCCATTTTAGGCTGCACTGGAGCGTGAGACCAAGCAGCGAGTTGACACCCTGGTGGACCTCCTGGACTGGGTCACCAAGGCAGAGCATTCCCTGGGCAACGAGCAACCTCTCCACGAGCAGCACACTCCGCTCACGCACCAAGTCAAAGAACACAAGGTAAAGTATCTCGCCTCCAAAAGTATGGAAGATTTTGGTTGTTTGTCCAGGGTGGCAATCTGCAGAACTGAGCTGCATTATATTACAAGTGCTGGCAGATTTGAGTCGTTGGAGTTATTGCTGAGAGAAGTTGCAGATCAGAGACCTTTCCCCTCTTCAACACTTCTCACGATACATTTTGTAAAGGGGTAGATTAAGGTAGAGGGCAAAACTCTTCAACCTCTGACTTTTTTCCCTTACACTGGTTGGAAAGAAAACTGATTTGATTGATTTTTCATTCTTTGAATTTCCTGGGTCATTTGTCGTAAGAAAGCCAGTAATGCTGTATTTGACAGCTATTAAGCAGAACAGGTAACTTTGATTTCACTCATCAATGTTGGTTGGTTGTTTTTCAGACGTTGAATGATGACATCCTGGCTCACCAGCAGCCAGTCCTCCTGGCTGTGCACAACACCGAGACCTTCCTGGAGAACCGCGGGGGCCAACTGGGCCCGGAAGTCCGCAACAAGCTCCAGGAAGGCAAGACGGCGCTGAAGACCCGCTATGATGTGGCGACCCGCGATTCCGAGTCCCGAGTGCGGCAGCTCAACGTCGGTGAGGATGTCCTGGAGCGGCTGGAGCCAGACGCCGTGGGCTTTGAGGAGTGGCTGCAGGGTGCCGAGCGGTCCATGGAGAAGTTCCACCGGGAGATCGGTTCGGACACGGACACCCTTCGCCGTCAGGTCCGGCAGCTCAAGGACTTCAACGAGGATGTCTTCAGCCACAAGGGCGACCTAAAGATGATCAACACGGCGGGCCAGAAGTTCGTCAATGGTGCCGACCTCTACCGCAAGACGCTGCGCGACTTCCGCACCAGTGCCCTGCCGCGCCAGTTCAACCAGAGCTTCCGGGAGGACCCGGAGCGCAACCTGATCCGTGACAACCTGAACAACCTGAACGCCCGCTACGACCGGCTGCAGAATGCCAGCAGCACGCATTTCTCGGTCCTGAGCGACCTCCTGGACAAGCTGGCCCGCTACAAGGATTCAGTGGACGTGACGCTGACCTGGCTACAGGAGGCCTACGAAACTCTCAACAGGCTGATGAAGGAACCGGTTGGCGTGGAACCAGAATTCGTCCGCAAGCAGATTGATCGACTGAAGGTAAGAATGATACAAACCAACAAGAAATTGATGTTAGAGTGTAAAACCGGAAACGGTAGCCAGGCTTCACCACTGATAAGTCAGGCCGCCTATTGGCAAAGCAGGGGCCTTTGGGCTTGGGCTTTAACCTCTTGCCCAAGGCTTTCCATTACCAGCTGCTACCCTGTCCTGGGCCACTATTCCCACCAACTTGAGTGGCAGCTTCAGTCAGTTTTGATGTAATTTGCCTGCACACTGAATGGAACTAAAAAAACCAACCATAGACTCATTTGAGGTGGGTGAGACTTAATCTAGCGGGGCCATCTAGCAGCCTGGCTTTATTGATTGGTAGCACCTCTATTACAAGGTAGTTCAGGGCTAACAAAGTGAAAATTACAGGCCTGACCACCCAGGCATGGCATGCATAGTTAGCAAGGCCACACCTCTAATTGTTTTCCTCCCTTAAAATCTGTACATGTACCTTCTCTTTTGGAGAGCAAGTGGAAGTTTAGTGTTCATATCTCTCAGCAACGTTACTGCCATGTGTCTTAGAAGGCCATGAATAATAAGACCATGACCTTGTCATCTTTGTTTTTGCTTTCTTCTTTCCATCAGCTGTTCTACGATGATGTAACGGCCCACGCCAAGGATGTGGAGCGCTGCCGAGAGACCGGCCAGGACCTGTGCGAGGGTCACCCTGAACTCAAGAACGACGTGGAGAAGACCGTCGGTTAGTATTAACCTGAAGAATTATTCCTGGCTCTCTGGTCACAGACACCATTAAAATGCATCTTAACGTAAAATCAGAGAAAGCATATATAAGCAATTTTGCCCGGCAAATATTATGCAGTTGTGATTTTTGTGTCAAACGGGTCATTCCTGAAACGTACCCGCCGTCTCCTGCAGATAGCCTTAGGAAGGTTTCACAAAATGCAGAATGTATATCAAAAACTTTGTAGACTAAATGTTTGATTTTTTTCGAAGGGAAAGATAATGTTTTGGAAATGTTTAGGATAAGGGAAGAGTTCTGAAATACTTGTTCAAGGCCTCAGAAAAATTACAGAAAAACTGGAATTTTGGGGGGGTGGGACAAAACAATACCAGACAGTTACTCTTGGGGGTTTCTGCCTGCAATGCCTGTAATTCCCTTCAACAGAGATTAAGTGGTTACTACACACGTGATCCACTGAGATCAGTTTTGACTGTGATTCCACCAGATGGAGTTTGCATCCCGCTTTTTCTCTTCCATTAACGTCGCCCTGCCTTTGGATCCCCCCCCTCCACCCTTCCACTTCAGGAGCCATCGTGGACAAGTACAACGGCCTGAACTCCAGCTACAGCGACCGCATGAACCTGCTGCGCAGCACCCTGACCAAGACGCAGGATGTGCAGGAGAGCATGGACAGCATCCTGAGCTGGCTGAACACGGCCGACCGCACCACCACCCAGCTGGAACAGGGCTCGGTCATCCAGGCCAAGCGGGAACCGTTGCAGGAGAGCTGCACCCAGCAAAGGGTATGAGGTTCTCCCCTCCATTGCTCAGTCATGTATTCGTTGTGGTTCGGGATACCACCAGTGGTTGGCGTAGTGGTTCTTTTCCATGCCTTTCACCTCGTAGGCTTCGGTTTGATTGCCCGAGATGTTATGTTTGTCATAGACGTGGAGGTCAAGGAAGCACCACGCCTAACTCCTGGTCATGAGACAAGCCCAGAATGTGCTATTTATACAAGTATAATGTTTTGAGACTGAAAGATCAATCACATTGGGAATTCACAATTTCAATTTTAATGATATTTAGTTATATTTAAAACAATCTAGTGGGTAGAAACTGATGAACATTGCCACTGATGTCAAAAGCATGAGTTGAAGTCCCCCTTCATATCAGGCAAACTGAAAACGAAAGTTGTCGGGAGCATCCAATAGAAGCCTGTTTTGATGAAGCAACACTATGGCTCTGCAATTATACGACTGTTTCTTTATTTTGGGGCGAACATGCTGGCGTGCGTAGCGTTGTGCTTTCTTAACTGTGAATTAAAAGAGGTCGGACCGTGAGAGTGACTTCGAATTGCTTTTCCATCGACAAGGTTGTTCAACAATGGATCTATGATAAAGTTGAACTGTCCCAATTTGAACCGGATTAAGGTCCTGATGAATTTTAGGCAGACGGCCGTGGTCATTTGCCGAAAATGACATCTAGCTTACTTTACCCGTTTTTTCTCTGGTCTTGTGCTATAAAACCCCTCTTACGGCCTCAAGGTCAAGAAACTCTAGTGGAACGAGAGCCGTATTATGACATTGTCAAATTGCTAGATTTGTTTGGTGCCCTCATCAACACAGATTATTTACTCTGAGCATTCTCACCGGTGGAATAGAACTCCCCAAATGACGATTTAGTATGAATGCGAAGAGAAGCTGCCACGTTAGTCATGATATGGGAAACAACGACCAATTCCCTGAAAAATAATTGTTTTACGTCAAAGCAATGTGATTTATCTGGTAGATTTATACTGGACTGAAAAATTTGCGGAAGCCATCAAATTTTTGGACAATCTATGTCTTTGTTGAGAAAATATTTGGAAAAGTTTTGCTGATTACAAGAAGGATGTATTTTGTCATTGGCTGAATGACCAGGAAGATTCTAGACTTGGAAAACGACTGTTTTCAAGACACAGCAATAACACACCGTTTTTTTTGATTGGGCCTTCTTGCAGACTTTTGCCACAGAGCTTCAGAGCTACCGACCCAGCATCGAGGCCGTCAACATGAACGCCGCACCCCTGATCCGTGAGAGCACCCCGGAGATGGCCCACACCATCCAGACCAAGCTGGACAGGATCAACACCACCTACGGCAACATCAGTGACCGCACTAAGGTGAGAAAACTCCCCCCCCCCAAATTTGCAGTCTGGTTCTTCAGTTCTTTTGAAAACTCGCCCAACGGGCCCATTCACTGATGACATCACGCTTTCTTACACGTGCACTTTCCTCTGGGAGCAAGGTTTGGACGACAGATTCAGAGCTCCATAAGGAAAGCTCACACGTAAACAAAGTCCTATATCATCAGCACCTCGGCATATCTGCTATGAACGAAAGCAAGAAATGGTGTGTGTTTACAAATCCACAGCCAAATATTGATTCATGCTGCGGCAATATAGGGAAGACTAAACTTTATGGAGGTGGTCAGAATTTAATCTCAATTCAAATTTGAATCTCACTGCAACAGATCGCTGTCATATCGCCAACTATTTGCATGGGATGGCAAAGTTTTTGAATGCAGAAACGTCCCCCTTGGTTGTTGTCAGATTGTACCCTAAATGTACATTACACCCATTACTTTGTTAGTGGGTCGTAACTTCATGTAGTGTTTAGAAGCACTGTACGGTATTTGGTTTTTGAATATCTGCGACAGATGCTCAAACATTTAGTTAATTATACTTTTGCATTGAAGGTGGCAATAGTTTTACCAGCCACTGGTTGCAATACAATTTGACTGTGATGACAGAAAAAGTAAACCCCCATATCATTTTTATTCTAGAAACTTGGGGACAGCTGGAACAGCGCCCGCACCCAGGTGGAGACCACTGAAGACTCCATCGACACCCTGGACGACTTCATCCTGCCCATGGTGCAGCAGCTGCAGTCCTCGGAGCTCATGAAGCTGGACCCGCCCCAGCTCAGCCGGAAGCTCAAGGTAGGCCGGGGAGCGTCGGGGGGTTTGTTAAAAATCTACCTGTCATCGGGTGTTGGAATTGGTCCAGAGCTCGCTCAGTCAAGACACACTGCACTTTGTCAGTGGTGCATTAAGAGGATTAACGAATGCATTCAACTTGGCCATTCAACCAATTGTGACCGGGTTCCACAGAATGAGTTTCAAGACTCATTTATATTCATTTTGTTGTAGTTTGTATTACAAATATTGTACCCAGCTCTTTGCTGTAATACATCACTGAGGCCCAGTTCAAACGTCATGCTCATGCCATGTCCTAGAAAATTGAATTGAGCACAACGTTAGCACGGCGTAAGCATGGCAGTGGTTTCAAACGTCGAATTTAATTAAAAAAGCCTAGTGGAACTTAAATAAATCCAATATGTGGGTGAAAAAATGTTGAGGATTCCTATTGATTTACATTTTGCAAGATGCTTTTTGAAAGTCCTTTATCTCAGAAGTGGCTTTGGTGACATGACTCATTTTGTTACATTGGGTCACATATAAATAACCGAGCCAGTCCAGTTAGGTACGGTTGTTCACTGTACTCTGATTATAGTCAGGCCAGGCGGGCCAACAATGGTAGTATTAGCAAGGTTGATCATGTCAGACCAACCCAACTAGGTGGGTTTTAATCCATTGTTAGTCATCAACAGCAGCTGGTAGTTTTCAGTGGGGCACTTAGACTTCTTCTATTGAAGCCAACAGCCACAAGGGATGCCAGGAACCAACCACTTCCTCATTAGTGGCTGTAGCTCGGTCGTGCTCCAATTTGATTTTGAACATTTGGGGTCATGCAATAATTACTGTGGAATTTGTGGCCGGTTCCAATTCACAGGAGATCAGCCAGCAGGTGGACCGCCAGCGGCCACAGTACCAGAAGACCCGTCAGCAAATCGAGGAGGTCATCCACAACCCGACCATCAAGGACTCCTCTGCCATGTCCTCCATGCTGAACAATGTGGACAGCAACTGGAACACGCTGGAGGATGTCCTCAACACCAGGTATGCCTGTGTTTATTCTGTCAGGCAAAGATGCCACTAGCTTGATTTCGCGCCGCATGCGCTTTGTGATCTTGTGACCGTTTAGTTCTGCATTTTTGAGGCTTGACCTCATCGGTTGTCTTACCTGCTGGTGTCTCTCCCACGTCCACTTTGCTATTTCGATCTTGACTGTGATGTCCTCAGTGGAATTATGGCAGAGTTTTTCATTCATTGAAGTCAATTCAAGCAACATCCACAGTGCAACCTCCGACCGTAGACTTGATGTAAATAATTTTAAAAATGCAACAAAACGCCAAGCAAAATCAGTGAATTGCGGAACGTACTTACTCACAGAAATTTAATTAAGAAACAGCAGTGTTGATATCTCAAAATAAACAAGATGATGAAAGTTGTGTTGGTGGAAAGCTATCGGACAAGAATTCTTCACCGATGAAAATGCAGATTTCTACAACTTAAGTAGTTATTCAAAATCTTCAATTTTGGGGGTAAAATGTTTACTGTTGAAATTATATAGGGCTGCTGAGGGTGACAAAATGTCACAGATGGTAAACAGTATCGTCGTGTTGCTTCATCACTGCCACATGGGACAAGAAAAAAAAAGATAAAAATTCTAAAGATGAGGCAAAACCTAGTTGATCATTGTTTGTTGAAAGGGTGCCATCTGTGCCCCGCTACTTGGGGTGAGCATTGCAGAGGCACACAGATTGATTATCAGCTGAGCTGTGGAGGTCAGTTCTTACGTTCTCTGCTCGTGTTGGATGGTGAAACTTTGCAGGACGCAGCAGCTGGAGGAGTTGGAGGACGCCCACCGCCGCTACAACACCTGCAGCGAGGACATCGACCGCATCGTGGGCACCATGGAGAGGAAGTTTGAGCAGCTGCCCTCGGTTACCAGGGACAGCAAGGTGATCACCAGTCAAATGAACAGCGTCAAGGTAAGGAATATACCGCTGGCACTGCTGGACTTTGTTGTCGTGATTAACGTAGTCAGATTTGTTCAAAACAGAAATAGAAATTTCTGTAGAAATAGAAAAATTAGACAAATTAGAAATAGCAGTAAATTGTCGATGTGAGATAAAAACTTCGGTATTTGGAGAAATCCAGGATGAGCTTCAGTCAGAACGTAAAGGGAAAATATTATCCTAACGCTCAACTTTTCTTTCTCAGTAAATTCATTTCAGGAAAGTCCAAAAAAGGACTTATTGTTCTGGATTTTTCATAATTCAAGAATAGAAATGCTAGAGACATTCAGGAAAACTGTCTGTACAAAGTATTGTACAGAGTTAAACAAGGATGTCTAAGTGTTGGTCATCATAGTTAGGGGCAGAATTTTGTCACCTTTCTTTTTAATTTGTACCAACATCAGAAGACGTGAAGGCAATTTTGTACTACACTTCCATTCAACAGCATTGATTAGCTGAGCTCACTCAGGAGTGTACAAATTCAGCTATTTTAGCCGATTTCAGTTTTTTTGTTCAGACTTTTACTCAAAATTTCAGCTTTACACCCCTTGTACACCTCTGTACAAATTATGGGAAGTTTTTACATTTCAGCTTTTTGTAAGCTGTTTTCAGCTTTTATTGTATATGGCCACTCACACCCCTCTTAATTACAGTGCCATCCATATTATTACAGAGTTTAAGTGAGTGATTAAGTTAAGGAAGTTAGTGATTTTCGGAGACTAGTTTTCTTGGACTTTAAGCACAGGTGATTCTCCGAATGGAATACTCTCAGAATTCTCCACCTTTCCATTTCCCTCCCTCCCTTCCTTCTAACCTCCACAGCCCTTGCAGAAGGAGTCATACCAGCTCAAGCCTCGCATCGAGGAGATGGCCAACATCTCCAAGACCCTGGAGACGCTTCAGCGGGAAGTGATCACCCCTGTCCAGTCTAAGCCGGTCCACCACTCCATGCATCTCAGCAGCCTGACCCATGGCGAGCCCCAGGTCAAGAAGGTGAAGCGCACCTTTGAGGAGCTGTCCAGGAGTGCGTTCCCGCAAGGTGAGGTTCGCCAAGGCTCTCGACAACCGGTGATGCTCCGTTGCGAAATGGTCTTAATTTTCTGCCATTGGCATCTTCCCAAGTTTTCCCAATATTCTTTGCCGCACTACTTTTTCAAAGTTGTGTGCAGTTTCTTAAGTATGACGCCGAGTTCAACAAGTCGGAGTGTATTCCTCTCTCTTGGCTATGCGTCAAACTTTTGATGCCGGGTGCTCGGAGATATTGAAATGTGTCACTAACGTTTGTAAGAAAAAAAAGTTGTCAAGAATGATGGGTGGTCCTTATTACAAACCCCTCAGTCCAATATGACTAAAGCTTTGCTAGGTTTAATACATGGTAGCTTCTTAATGTCTGCTGAGCTTAATTCTTGTCATAGTGTGGCTGATGGGATCAGGACAGTGGGCGTGGAATCCCGCCCCAAGCTGTGAGGCGTAAAAACCCAGCCCTCCAAATTGATTAGGAGTCCCCTCCGAGAAACAGGACATGGGCTAATGTGGGATACCTCAGATGGCAGAGTACAAGGTTTCAACAGCAAATGATATCATAGTTGGTACAGGACCAGTACCCTTGTGCGTATGGGGCACATTTAAATCCCATATTTGTTGTTAGTCTGTGTTCCGGCTTACAATGGAATTCTGGGTGAAAAAAGGCATTTTTGAAAGAATTCAAGACCCGGCAAAGCAAAGAGAAGGACTGAACTGGTTTCTGGAGAGATTCTCAAGATGTCTATGTTTGATTTCCCGGATTCAGAATCGGAGACCACTCAGCGCTACAACACCACCAATCGGCGCTACGACAACCTGACCAAGAACATCAACTACCGACTGGAGGACCTGGCCCTGATGCAGGACTTCATGGTCCACAACGACGACGGCAACGAACTCTTGTCCTGGGCCATGACCACAGACGCCAAGCTGGACCGCCAGCGGCCCACCAGCAACGACATCGACACGCTGCAGAAGGAGATCGACAACTTCAAGGTGGGTCAGATGGCAGTGTTATAGTTGATACCACTGCAAGACCGGACGGGAAACCATCAAAAGGCCACTTCCATGAGCAGCCACTAGTAAACTATGACAAAGGAATGCTGTTTTTTGGCAGTCCAGTTAAGTATCATGTGACTTGAATTCGTACTGGAGGTCTTGTGTCGGTCTTGTGATGGTGTACAACACTAGTAAATGAGTCTTTTGATTCAAAAGGTCCCCAGAGAAAGTTATGTTGAAGGATGGCAGCATAAACGATGGTTGTAAATAGTGCACTGTTCAACGAGCCTGTCTGGTATTTCAACAGGGCAGTCTCAAAATGAAGCACCTTGTATCAGCATGGCCGTACATCGGCTCTCGTGCACTGAATACATTCAAACTGGTGCTACATCAGGTGCTTGATTCTCGAATGACCTTTTTGAAATGCTGAACTGGCTCACTGCAGCTTTTGGTATATTCTGGGCAACGTCACCTTCTAGGATCCCGTGCCAGGGTTAGCAGGCAAGCCATTAATGGGTGACCTGCACCCATTCTGAGTTTAATTTGAATATCTGGTACCTGGACCTCTTCATGTGTTGGACACATTGAGAAGCAGATTCTCCAGACTGAGTTGGCACAAGCTGTCATACAGACGCACATAGGTTGTTTGATGGTGTGAGCTCCCCTTCATTTTTCACAGTCAGATGAAAATTGGCCATGTCAGGGTTTTCTCGAATTTAAATGATTAATGACAGGTATTGTTTCTCCAATTCTGATTGGGTTCATTTTATTCATTATTGCCCACAGCTCCTGGTCCAAGATGTGGACAACCACAACAACCCCATCAACGACATGATCCGCCGCATCGACAACTTCTACAGCCAGAACCTGGAGCGGCTGTCGCCCGAGCAGCGTGATACCCTGGACCGCCTGCGCAACGACCTGCGCAACCGCTACGACGAGCTGTTGCGCAAGAGCCGGCTGGAACTGACCGAGGCCGAGAATCGCCTCAACCAGCTGCGATCAGAGCAGGACGAGATGGTCAGTAGCCTCGCTGCCTGACGATTTCCCGCATTCATTTTCCTTTTCGTCCCCTTCAGAAAGATGAACAATATTGACAAATGGCCAGAGTCTGCAGCACGGGGCTAAATGGCTCAGTTGGTAGAGCACCGGTACTGTGTTTGGGAGGTCTCAAGTTCAAATCCCACTTAGTGAATTTCTTAGTTCATCTTCATATGTTACCATGTAAGAGCCTAGTCAGCTTCCCAGTGTGGTTTGTATGATGGTTTCCTACATTAGAAAAACTGTTATTTGCATTGGTTTTTTTTGGCATTGAAAGTGAGAAACTGTCCCTCGGCTGTCATAGGTGTATGAATTACAACGTACACAACTTGACAATTCGTACAACTTCAGTTTTTTCAAATTTGAGGGCTTTCATGTACATGTAAATTCTTTTTCAGTCGCTAAATTTCTGTTCAAGAAGCCAGTTCAATTCTGTTGGCGGTTGCTGCTGCTGTAACAGAAATGGGTCTTTCGGTGAATGATTATATCCTAATTGTTTCCTAGCTTTGTGATCTTTTCAAAGTCTGGGCTCACAGCACAAAACGGAATTTCAAATATCACTTTCAAACAAACTGAAATTCAGTCTTCCAAATTGGTCCGAAATCTGCTCTCTGCACAGGACTGTAAAGTGCTTGTCAACAGTCTATTTGCATAAATACAACATTATTTCAGAATCCAAGCTAATTTGAGATGAGCTGGAATGTAAGCAATGTACCAGTTCCCTTGCTGCATTTTTCTCCTTGCTTTAGTTAACGTCGTTTATGCTGCTGTTTTGCAGAGCACCCTGAATTCTCGCAGCCAGAAGCTGCTGGGTGACCTGACCCAGCTGTCCAACTGGATAGACAAAGCTGAGAAGGCCCTGGGCTCCGAACAGCCGCTGGGCGAGGAAGTCCGGCCACTGAACCAACAGATCAACCAACACAGGGTAAAGTCGTCTGCTGGAAAAATTTGGGAGTCTCAAGAACATTTGTCTTGCAAAAATTTTGTTGGGTCTGGGGTTTAAGTTTGCAGTAGAAAGAGAATCGAACTGCTGGTACTGATCTAAGCTACTGCAAAACACTCATCTGGTGCTCTAGTGAGTAGGAGTAACGATGGGAGACTTTTAAGATGGTTAGTGGCAACCCTGTATTGTTCGTGCCGAGTTTGAGCTAATGGGCACGTGCTCCAAGTGTGAAAACAGTTCTAGACTGGTCATGTTGGAAGGCATGTTTGCTGCCACTAAGCATCGCAAAAGTGTTCCATCATGAAGCACTTTGAGATCTCTGATTGTACGGTGCTTAATAAGTAACGCATGTTGTTATTATCACTCAATTTGACATGAAAAAAAAATCTGTGGATACAAGAGTTAACAGTTACTAGTGAACTCCATTTTCCAAGAATTGTTTCAAGAGCTACGCAGTGGGCCTTGGATTTCTCTGGATTCCTGGTTTTAATGAAGCACTGTGCACTGTCATTTCTCCTTGTCCAGGTCCTCCATGAGGACATCGTCAAACACCAGGAGCCTGTCCTCAAGACGGAGCAGGAGGCTAGGCGCTTCCTTGACCAGTATGGCCCCCGCCTGCGGGACGCAGACCGCTCCAAGCTCCAGGACCTGACCAACAACCTGCGCTCGCGCTACGACGTGGTCAGTAACCAGTCCCATCAGCGGCTGAACAAGCAGGGCTACTGCGCCGACGACCTGAACAAGTACGATCAGGAAGGGGGGTCGTTTGGCAACTGGCTGGACCAGGCTGAGCGCCGTCTGCAGCAGGCGGAGAAGAGTGTGCCGCAGGACCTGGAGGCCCTGCAGCGGCTGATCGCTGACCAGCGGGCCTTTACTGAAGAGGTCAATGACCAGAAGGGCGACCTGAAGTTCATCAACATGACGGGCAACAAGTTCCTCAATGATGCTAAGGTGTGTAGCAGTGTTGCTGTACTTTGATAAGATGTTTTTACTTCATAATTACACTGATACTTTGTACTTCACAAAAAAAGTTTCCATAAAACTCCACAGAACAGCAACTGTGTTTTGCTGCATGGGGGACTACTTTATTATCTTAACCACCATTTTTATCGTAGCTTTTGAGTTGAAATTTTAAGAGAACTGCGCTCTGGAACGAAATGAATTCCCAACATTATACTTTTGTTTGAATTCAATTGAATGATGAGGAATTTGTGTCTCAAATGTAGCATATAAAGTAACTTTTGAAGTTTTCAAGAAAAACCTCCTTAACTTGTCTCCCTTTCCCACAATAGCATGTTATAGACTTTTGCTACAGAAAATAAGGAATAAAACATCTAAAGCATTCATGATACGCAGATAATGGAATTTAAAATTTGGACATTGTATAGTTCTATAGTCCTGAAATTAAAAATTTGGATCTTAATCTGCAGGGCTACAAGGCCGACCTGTCAGAGTTCCGGGCGACCGTCATGCCGCGGGACTTCATCCGCTCCTTCCAGGAGAACCCGGACACCAATATCATCCAGGACCGGCTTGGCAACCTGAACGAGCGCTACGCCAACCTCAAGAGCAACAGTGTCCGCTTCACCAACAACCTGGCGGACATCGCCGACCGGCTGCAGCGCTACCAGAAGTCGGTGGGCGTCGCTGACCGCTGGCTGGGTGAATCCCGCACCACCCTGGACACCCTGCTGGCCAAGCCCGTGCCAGCCGAGGCGGCGGAGATACAGAAGCAGATCGACGACCTGAAGGTATGGAATCAAGAGACCTTTGCCTTACTTATCCAGGTTATTGTGTCACTCAGCAACTTCAGATAGCATGCATTATGTCAGTGATGTATCCAAAATGTAGAGCTGAGATGGTTGCCTCGACTTCACCATTATAAACGCAACTCTACCAATTATGGAGGATTCTGCAGGATTGAATTAATGAGACTGGCAGGTGTCGCTTAATTGGAACTTGATGGACCTTAGACGTTGAATTTGAGATAGTGTCAAGGAAAGATTCATGGCAACAATTCCTCAGAAAAAATCCCAGTTTGATATTTTGACCTTGCATGCAGAAAATGATTGCATTGTAGGTTATTTTGGATAATCTATAACCTGTTTTTAAGATTGGCTGCATAAGTGTACTTGTGTTTTAATCAGAGTGACCTTGTCTCACTGAAATACCAAATTTCTCTATCAAGGTTAACACTCGGAATATGAAACCAGAATGTCAAAATCTAACTTATAGGTTTTATTTTCCTAGCAAAAGATTGAAAGGGTTCAGGTAGTAACAAATACATAAACCTCACTTCCAGGTCTTCTATGACGGTGTTGTGCACTTCTCGGACGAGATCGATGCCGTCAAGAGCAACGGCAATGACCTGTGCGCCGTCCAGCCTCAGCTGGCACCCAGTGTGGGCCGGACCACGGATGACATCAACCAGCGCTACAACGCTCTGCATGGCCAGATCGGCGAGCGGCTGAGCAGCTTGCAGGATGCCCTGGGCCGGTCTCGCAGCGTCCAGGACAGCCTGGACGGCCTGTTGAAGTGGCTGGACCAGGCCGAGAAGGAGGCGCACATCCTGGACAAAGGGACGGTAGTCAAGGTGGAGCGGGAGCCACTGCAGGAGTGCTCCCAGAACTGCAAGGTAATTGGCCGGGGGAGGCTGCTTTTCAAGTCTGATTCACGCTCTGTGCGGATGTAGATTCAACCATCAAATTCCCATCAGAATTACATATGCAGAGAATATGCACTTGACGTGTACCTTCAGATGCTATTATTTAATCATCTCTATTCAATGTTCAACCAAAAAACGTACAAAACAATGAAGATGTGACATAGAACCCCGGTCCCAAGTGGACGATAAATAAATTAAAGTGATCGTGGCAGGGCGAAGAGAAATGAAGCAGGTTTTAAAAATTAGAGCAGCACAAACGGTGAACACATTTAGAAATACCTTCATGATGATACATTCATAGGACGATGAGCAAAGCAATGATATGCTTCATGTGAAAGATGTTGAGGCAGTTTGACTCGCCAAAATGGCACCGAAGTCGAGGCGATGAGAGTAAAGCCAGTGCTTTAACTAAAGGATGTTTGCTTCCACAGATGGTAACACACCCAACAGTACAATTTTTCATCTCAAAGAACCGTTCCAAGCTCTGATTGTAAATTGATATCTGTTTGAGACTGTATGCTGAAATGCGTCTTGACTATAATCAGAGCTTCTGAAAGTTTCAGTTTTCCCCAAATTGGTCTGACCACGCCCAACAGGTCTTCCAGACGGACATCATTAACCACGCCCCGGTGGTGCAGAACCTGGACGACCAGGTCACCAAGCTGATGCGCACCAGTGAGCCCAAGGTGGCGGAGGTGCTGAGGAGTCGCATGGATGAAGTCAAGCGGCGCTACACCGGGGTGGATCAGACGGCCAAGCGGCATGGTGGCCAGCTGGCCGACCAGACGGACAAGCTGGCTGAGTTTGAGAGGGAGGTGGACCTACTGGAGAACTGGGAGCTGCCACTGCTGGAGACGTTGGAGTCACGCCGGTTCATGAAGGATGAGCTGCCCAGCGTCTCCAACAAGCTGACTGTGAGTTTTGAGACTTCAGGAGTTGATTCCCAGAGTAGGGCCACGTTTAGGCATTCGTGTTACAAAATATTGTCTTTGAAGGTCGTAGTTTCTCGCCAAAACAACCAATCAGGCATTATTCATATGGTGTTTGTATTAATACACTAAAAATGATGACGGCATATAACATTTCTGAAAGATTACATTGCAGACAACAGTTTGATATTCATTTTTTTTTAAAGCAAGCCTAAAAAGCTATTGTTGGTGGTAACAGTCAAATGCACAACCAGTGAAAAACAGCTGAAAAACTTACTAGTTAAAACTAGTCACAAGACCATCACAAGATCAGTCACAAGACCAGTCCAGAAGACATCAACTGCTGGAATTTTATCTCTGGAATGTTTTTCCATCTTTCCAGGACGCCACCAGGCAGGTGGAGAACCACCGGCCCCAGCTGGCCAAGGTCCACAAACTGGCTGAGGAGCTGCTGAGCCACCCCCGCGGCAACGACACCACCTATGTCCAGAAGGTCCTGGACAGCGTGGACAGCAACTGGGAGACCCTGGAGGACGTTCTGGAGAAGAGGTACCGGACAGCAGCACTTGTCATTCTCTTGGTTGATTTAAGTTGATCGGGCTTTCCAGAATTGTCTGAGCTGAGCTGCCTCTTGAGATGAACAGATGTCGCTCCTTTAGATCATTAATCCCAACCCTCTAGAGAGCTCAGAATAGTTTACTGGAATTAGAAGAACAAATGTTTGGCCATTTAAAGGTTAAGAAAACCTTGGGAAATTCTTTTTTGAACTGAGTATCTTGACTGGAGCTGAAGATTAAAAGCCTGTTAAACCTCCAGAGAGCTAATTCTGTGCCAAAGTCAATGAACTACTGCACCTCACGTTTGCAATTTTCCCTGATCTGTGTTAGCGTCCTCAGCTGGGAGAACTGTCCATACATCACAGTATTTGTTCTTGCCAATTGATAAAGCATTATGCCTATAGGTACAGTGTATTTATCAAACAAACCACATTCATTCAGAGAAAACTAACCAGGTTAACTTCCAAGCAGATAAAGGGCCTGTTTGTTTTGCTTGGATCCGGATCGCAATCAGTGATCTGTCGTTGGTGCACTGACTCAAGAACCCCCTAACAGATAGCACAAACCAGCCCTGGGATTACTGATCACAATACACATCCATGTGAAACAAACAGGCCCGAAAGTAACATGAAAGAAGTATTGCTTGGATATTTGTCATCTGTTTTAGTATTGACTGCAAGGCCACAAGTTGTTGACATCTGTGATATCCGTTCATACTTTGTCTTATTGTAGGAACTCACAGTATGAGAACCGCCAGGCTGCCACCAAGAAGTACACTGCGGCCCACAAGGACACCAGCTACTGGCTGGACAATGCGGAGCGGCGGGTCAACCAGCTGCAGGCGGTCTCCAAGGACCCCGGCACCATCGACTTGCAGCTGAAGGAGGTGCGCCCCTTGCGGGAGGAGGTGGTCGCCTACCGTCCCCAGGTGGACACCGTCTGCGACCTGGGCTCGGCCCTGGACCGGCTGGTGAAGGAGACCGAGTCGCCCCTGCAGGTGCCGCCTCACCAACGCTCCACCACAGTGGGGCAGGCCCGGCGGCCAGGAGAGCGGCTGCGGCCCAAGATGATAGAGGAGCAGCTGGACCAGAGCTTCCTGGAAGGTAAAGAGAAAAGAGTTTTTGCATGGAATTCAACTATTCAGCTCGAACATACCCAAGGGAATGTTGATTAGCATTCCTTCTACCAGAGGACAGCTGTAATGGCCAACACACCGCAAAAACTTATCAAATCATAGGTTTTAATGACCACTACTTTATCAGACCCGAGCAAGCCCAGACCAAAGGGGAAAGAAATCCACTCTAGAAACTTGAAGGTCACAGGTTTAAGAACCCCGAGTGGATTTCATTTATTCTAGGAAGGCATTAGGTTTACAATATGAAAGAACATGAAAAGGCTGAAGCCAGTAATAGCCAAAAACTCTACTACAGAGAGGAAACTCAATGTATGACGAGTATTACTCGATTAAGAGACCATGTCCAGTGTGCCATTGGCCTTTCAACTTCTGACACTTAAGCAAGTTATTTAAATATCCAAGTGCATGCGAATAGGCTTTGCAGTTAAGAAAGTGGTCAAGCTGACTGCATACCCTACAGCATAGTTAAGCCATGTAGCCACCAGTGTCGTTGCAGAGCCATCAAGGGCCTTTCCTGCCCCCTTGAACATGTGTGATACGAGATCAGCCCTGTAGTCTAGGCAATATTTAGGCTGCAGTGTTTTATTTCATAATCTTTTAGTCCCATGCTAGCCTTTGTAGACGTGCGATGTAAGGTCAGGCCTTTAGTCTGAGCTGTATCTAGACTTGAGGGGTTCTGATGCTGCAGAACTGCACGTGATCTGTGTCGATCAAGCAAGGGTTTTCTCAATTCCTTTCATTCTCTCAGAGCAATCGCCCATCCTGGAGGAGACTGGCGAGGTCCGCCACCGCTACGATGACCTCCTGCGCCGCCTGACCGGCCGCCACGACCTGTTGGAGCTGCTTAGCGAGTACCACAATATCAACAACCGGCTGATTGACACCCAGGAGTGGGTCATCAACATGGACTCGCAGATCAGCCAGAAAAAGCCCGGTGGCAAGGACCTGGGCTCGCTCGCCCAGGACATGGATGATATCAAGGTAAGGCCAAGGCCCTCTTCTATACCTGGGCTACACCCAGGACTTGTTTCCATCTCCTGCTGAAAATTTTAAAGCACCCCCCCGTGTCCAAATTGTGTGGACATTGCCTTTGACCTGTGTCAAGCTTTGAGTCACCCAAATTGGGCGTAAGTGCTGATGGTGGTCTTCATCTTCTGCTTGTTTTTACTCGGTAAATCTCCAGACAATCCAGACCAACATCAAGGCCCAGCGGGAGCCCATCCAGGAGGTTATCAGCGATGCCGAGGCCTACCTGCGGGTCAACCGGGACCGGCTCTCCCCTGAGCAGATCGAGACGCTGCAGCGCCGCATCAACGAGCTGCGACGCTACCTGGACCAAATCTGGGTCATCTCAGAGCAGATCATCAAGGAGACGGAGACAGAGATCCACAGCATCAACCTCCAGCAAGAGGAGCAGGTAATGACTGACCTGGGGGAAATATCTCTCAAAATCTCTAGTTGTTGAAGTTGAGGTCTTTTCTAAGTCTGACTAAGAAACTGAAAATCAGCCTAGTACAAACTCAGTTAAACCAGAAAAAAGAATGCGGACTGAGTAGTTAAGTTCTTTCAATTTGGAATATATACGAAATTCCCTCGGGAAGTATTCCTGCTTTTTAGGATGAGTGTCCTTTACTTGTTTTGGAAGCTGCTTGAAAATTTTCAACTCTCCATGAATGATTCTTTTGGTTTTGCACTGGCCGCCAACCACAATTTTCCCAGCCACTTGTTGGCAAACATGCAACTGAGACGTAGAAAGAGGAGACACTTTAGTTTAGCCCGTCTTTTAGGAGTCACGTTCTTTGATCCCTTCTCTTCCCTCCATCTCTCCCCCCTTAGTCCAACTTGGGCATCGAGTTTTCAGCTGTGATGCAGGCCCTCCGGGACCTCCTGGAGTGGGTCAGGATGAAGGAGGAGCAGCTGGGCTCCCAGCAGCCCATGACCGAGCGCACTGACACACTCAAGAGCCAGCTCAACCTGCAGCAGGTACTGATGAAGAGGACTTTGCTAGCGACAAAATGAACAGCCTCACCCCAGCCAAAAAATTGGGCCATTTCAGACTCTTTATCTATAAACCTATCTGTGTTCAGATTTATGGTCAAGATGTTGCAAATCATTATGCTCAGTCATCAGGTGTATGATTACAAAATACAACTGAAAGTTTGAATGAAATTGAATTTGGTTAACAAAACTCAGTGATAGAAAATGAATGCCAACTGAGACGTGAGATAAACGTGGGAGTTTAGAGAGGATTCGAATAAAGGCAGTGATGATGATTGAGGAATTGCACGGGGAAGATCCCTGAAAATCACTGAAAAGCAACAGTATTTTATTGTTGTCATGGTTACATCTCCTCTGAAAATCTCGTGAGTTTATCTTCATCCTCAAACGTCATCCTGCCATTGCCGTGTTTCAATTCTCTTAATCCTTTTCTGTGCCTCAGGACATCAACGAGGACATCCAGAGCAAGAACGAGCCAGTCCAGCAGGTCTGCCAGGACGCTCGGGCCTTGCTGAAGGTCAAGGGCGGGAAGATGACTGCCGACAACAAGCGGGACCTGGAAGACGCCGTGGACCAGCTGCAGTCGCGCTACGCCGTTATCAACGGCAGCTCCACCGACCGCACCAACAAGCTGAATTTTGGACACCAGGACCTGGACAAGATCGAGGAAGGATGCAGTACGTTTCTGTCGTCATCCTGGCACCAGGGTTTCTAGGGTTGTTTCCAAACTCCGGATTGGGCAAACTAGAAATCCCATGGCTGGGTGTATTCAAAGCACTCTGGTAGTTGAGTTTTTCCACAAGTCCTTCTAAAAGTCCAGTCTGTGTTTCAAGTCCATTTAAAATCCTTTCACATGTAAGAGGGTGAAAAAGACAAAGGAGGACCTTTGGCACAGTTCATTTGAATAGCCTATGACTTAGGTTGTGACTGGACGGGCCTGTCATGGACTTATCAGGGACTTGTGATGGACTCGCTTCAACATTGTTTCCAAGTGTGAAGGATGTCAAAATGAAATGCTCATTCCCTCAGTATTAAGGCTTCTTTAGAAAACCTGCCAAACATTAACAACGTGCTGCAGTTACTAGTCTGGTGACTTGTAGCTCTAACAGGTCAGTTTTCCCACAGTAAAACAGTCCTGGGTGTTAACCAGTGAAATTAGGAACCACCTCCAGTTGCGTAGATGAAACAAATCACAGTTGGTGTAACCTTGTTTATCCACCACCACCAGGTGAGTTTACAACATGGCTGCGGGACGCCGAACACGAGCTGGCCACCATCCTGAAAAACGTCAGCAGCGACTACAGCACGCTGTCCAGGCAGACGGAGGAGCACCAGAACTTCACCGACGACGTGGTGACGCACTCGGCCGACCTGAAGTACATCAACAAGGCCACGCAGAAGTTCATGACCTCCGCAAAGGTGAGAGCTTGACTAAAACGTTGTCGTGGTCAGACAGTATCTCTCCAAGCGCAAGGTGTAGGATAGGATGGAATCTTAATCTTGTGTGTCTTCAGTAAGAAGTGATGCTGGGACAGCTCAGGCAGTAGACTCAAGTTCTGAAGTTGTTCCACCTCCACCCAACCAGATTTGGTATTTCTGATGCGTGGAATTTGGAGAAAGTCTCGCATATTAAAGAATAAAACAAGAAGTTCAGACTTCAAACTTCAGCGTCGTAATGTATGTAACATATTATGAAGACATTTTTTTATGGCAGAAACATACTTTTTTCCAATCAGTACTGCTGGAAATTGTAAGCTTTACAGTGCAACATTTCTAATGACTTCTCGATTTTCCTATTTAGAATTTTGAAAAGTGTTGCAAAGTTGGGAAAAGAAAGAGTTTTAGCTGTTAAGTTCGAAAACCAAAATGAATGGAGTACATCTAGAGGAATGTTTCATGATTATTTTGGTGGGTTGGACAATTTTTCCTTTATAGTACAGTGTTTCTTGTGATAAAACTCTCTTTCTGGTTTGATTCTTTCAATGCACAGACCTACAAGGACTTCCTAGCCAACTATCGGCAGAGAGTCATGAGCCGGCAGTTCCAGCGGCAGTTCCAAGAGAGCCCCGACCAGGACCTGCTGCGCCAGACGTTGGAGGACCTAAATGCACGCTACGAGCGGCTGAAGGCCGACTGCTTCGGCCACGGCCGGCTCCTGCAGAAGCTGCTGGACAAGCACAAGCGCTTCGCGGACAAGGCCGAGGACACCGACGCCTGGCTGGGCTCTGCCGAGGAGCGCATGCAGACGCTTCTGCAGAAGCCCATCGGCGCTGAGACAGACACCATCAAGCGGCAAATTGACGAGTTGGACAACTTCCGCAAGGACGTCAAGCAGCGCCGGCCTGATGTGGACAAGGTCAAGGACTTCGGAGAGGACCTGATCAACGTTCAGCCCAGCGTCAGGGTGCCCGTGCAGAGGACCATTGGTGAGTAGGGAATATCAGCCTCACTCCCCAAGTATTTTTCACCAGGAGCTTCCCTGAATCCTCCAGAACCACACCACTATGCAGGAACACAAACAACTAACACATTCTTTGTACCTCTAGTTTCAGTCGTACTTAATTGTCATTAAAGTGTTTGTTTGTACATTTTGAATACGATACTTTAACAATTCTTCAGTCTTGTACCAAATTTGAATTCTTGCTTCTTATTGCCAAGCTTACTTTACGCAAGTGATTGTGGTCCCAGGGTATTCCACATGTTGTACATGATAGACATGTGGTACTGCCACCATTTAAAAACCATGCTGAAGTGTGCTACTCTCACTGTAGATCCTGGGTTTTGTGCACATTCAGTTTAAAATTGGTGTCATATTTTGTACATGTACAGAGCATTCCTTCCTCTGCCCCAAGTAGGTAAACCACACAGTGGTTAGATGCTGAATTCAGTCCATAGGCTTTCATCAGTATGTCCACTCTTAGCTTTATTCATTAAATTCTGAGGATATTGCTTTCGTATGATTCATCTCCAGAGGACATCACAGACAAGTACGACTCCCTGGACGGCCAGCTGAACAACCGGTCTCGGCTCCTGCAGGAGGCGCTGGCCCAGTCCCAGTCCATGCACGACAACCTGAACGACCTGATGAGCTGGCTGGATGGGACGGAGAAGGACGTGCACAAGATGGACAAGGGCACGGTGGTGGTAGTCAAGAAGGATCCCATGAAGCAGCAGATGCAACATGGCGATGTGAGTGGATCCGGATGGAGGAGGTTTAACTTGATCTGATCAGGCAGGATCAAGAAGAGTTTTCTCATAGGATGTTGTTTATTAATCAAAAAGCCTCCTGTGGAAACAGTCCATCCTGGACCAAGTTGTCCTCCCAACCAAGTCAAGTAGCTGTTATAAGCAGACTTCACTCGCATTTTGGAAACAGGACGAAAGGGGCCCTGTCGAAGTTGGTCTTGGTTGTTGGGTTTACCACTATGGATAAAAACCCATAGATAAGTATGGGTTAACCTCTCGGAAAGAAGATTTATGAACATTAAACCTAACCCCTGGGATGTATGCTCAAATTGGAGGATTGAGGACTGTTAGAGTAAAGAAAGCTTTGTTTAAAACTTTGAATTTTCTTTGAAATTCTTCAAAAATGTCCTTCACTTGTGCAGGCTGTGAGATCAGCAGAGATAAATTAACCCTTGCTGAACGAAAGCATAAATTATTAATTTATTGTTGACAGAGAATAAAGTTGGTAGTAAACACTGGTTAAGCCAGTTAGCCATGGTGGCTGTAAAAGAAAATCTACATGACTCTAATCAAACTTGTATATTCATGGTTGTTGTCTCTCGCTTTTGCCAGCTAATCACCGAGGACATCACGGCCAAACGGAACGTCATCGAGGAGTGCGTGAACCAGGCCACCAGCTTTGTCCAGCAGTGCGACCCCATGGAGGCCCAGATCATCCAGACCAAGCTGGACAACCTCCACTCCCGCTACAAGCAGGTAGGCACTGAGACAGAGCCTCCTCAGAAACTGTGGAAGGGCTTACATGCCAGTAGAGAAGTTCTAGTTGACTGTAGTTCGATCAGCGTTGCCCAACAAATAAATCGTCAGGCCAGTGGCTTTGGGTTCAAACTGAGAAATTTTTTCCTTCAGTAGAATGGATTGTCCACATTCACAACAGGTGGACCTTTTGTGGCATTAACGTTATTTTCTCGTATGTAATCTTTGTTTGTCTCTTGTTTTTTTTTTCAGGTGAAAGACACGTCAGAGCAGCACGGCCGGCAGATGGTCAGCCTGAAGGACCGGCTGAGCGACTTTGACAAGCTGGTGGACGAGCTGGAGGACTGGCTGCTCCCTGTCCTGGAGCACGTGGAGAGCAAACAGTTCATGGAGCAGGACCTGCCCGTCGTGGGAGACCAGCTCAAGGTGAGGCCCCACTGCTCAGGCCAGCGATGCTGTCAGCTAGACAATTTATCTCCGCGACTGTTTCATTGTAAAGGGGCAAGGAGTGGGCTGGTAGTTATTTGGTAGATATTTGTGACTTGTGATCAGTGGGTTGGGGTTTTGAATCTCAGCTGCTGGCCACATGCTGGGCCGGAAAAGTTACCCCCAGGAGCGTAAAGTGGGCATCGGTGCTAGTTTGGGATTGACCAGCAGTTGACGTCGCATCCCATTCCCAAACCATGTGTTACTGATATCCCAGTATTAGGGATGGGGCTGAGAAACATCCTTGTAGATTCATTACTCAAGACCATTTCTGTCTTTTTAAACTTGTTGCCATTGCAGACCTACAAGATGCAGATGGACGACCGTCGTCCACTGTACAAGAAGATCCACGAGGTGGCAGAGGAGCTGATGAAGCACCCTAAGGCCACCGACGTCTCGGAGATCAAGACCATGATGACCAACATCGAGCTGAACTGGGACTGCCTGGACACGGCCTTGGCCAAGAGGTGAGCCAAGAAAAGCTAGAGGGACTTCTGACCGGTAGACTGCTGCTCATCTGATTCCCTCTGTCAAGTTGTTCCAGTAGGAGACTTGGCTGGTAGTCTTGTGACGTCCATTCTCTTCAGCCTTCCTCTACATGTAGAAAGACAGAGCTGAGTAATTACATCTCTCAGCCAAATGTTTTATCGGAGGCGTTCAGTGCTTTAAGGATGAATCGAGTTGCACGCTGTTTTGCAGAATCTGCAAACCTCCTTGTTCTTTGTTTTTTGTTTTTGTTTTTTGGCAGTTTTAGTCGGTCATGCAACTTGTGTGTGTCACAGTTGTTGAAAATAAGTTCCTCCCAGAACTTGATTATGTCATCTTTCTGAGTGATGCTTTCAGTCAGAAGTTATACATTGTGAAACAACGATCATTTTGTGAAAATGCAACTTTTTTACTACTCAAATAGTTCTTACTAGTTGCAAATGTTACTGGCCAAAAATTACAGAAGTGATAAGATACTTGATATTTTTCCCCACTATTTTAGAACCAAACACCACGAGGAGCGCACAGCCGCCCAGAAGACGTTCTTCACCTACATGAAGGACGTGAACAATTGGATCGGCAGCCAGGAACGCCGTATCGGCCAGATGGCTGCCGTGGCTAGGGACAGCAAGCAGCTTCAGTCGCAGATCGCAGAGGTCAAGGTAAGCCCCGCCCACAGTGTAGCTGAACATGGCTGTCACATGTACTGATTTCACCCCATGAGAATCGGCAATTTTGCCATGGTAATTTAGTATGAAAATCGGACCAGTCTCCTTCAGAAGGATTCTGTCGCAAAACGGATGAGAGCCTCAGTTTCTGTGCTTATCAGTTCACTGAAACAGATGTCTCCCCCTGTAGAATGGAATATTTCAGCATTCCAAACGTTGTAGTTTTCGCAGGGCGGGAAAGCTTGCCTCTGAGGGCAAAGGCTGTAGTCAAATCCGTTATAAGCCCCTGCAAGACCATCAGAAATCATTTAGTCTTGGGTCAAGTTGCAAACTACTCAAATGAACTGGGACAAAAACATTCCCTCATTATTTGTCATCCTGTTTCTTTGGCTGATCTTGTGACTAGACTTGACCACGACCCTGTTGATGGCTCTAGAATCAAAGTTGTGGCTGGGCCAAATTATCCAAATTAAGGGAAGAAATAGAGCAGTGCCATCCATTCCCAAAACACTGTTCCACGTTTTTTTGGACTGCAGCCGTTCCAGAAGGAAGTCAAGGACTACAAGCCCAGGGTGACCGAGAACGCCCGACTGGGCGCCATCTATGACAAGATGATCTACGAGACAGAGATCAACATCGCCACGCGACCTCACTACCGCTCCACGGAGCTGGACCTGACCAAGCCCATCGACCGCAGGGTCTTTGAGGAACCTAAATTCATTGAGGATCGTAAGTCATTAAAACATACCTAAGGCTCTGTCTTTGATTCTGCTTTGGGCAATTGTTACCTTCTGTTTCTGAGCAAGATACTTTACTGTAATTTACATCGCAATCATGGCGGTATGTAACTGTTCTGCCATTTCTATTTACCCTGGTTTGATGGTCAGTGCCTGACTGCAGGAACTGATGTTGGAATTAAATGTCCAGGATTTATCTCAAGCAGGCATTTTCGTCAGAAGACTATTTAGCAATCCTTTTTCTATGTACTTTTATGGGGACTTTGCTTCTCCGGTGAATATTAAACCAAAGAATAATTTTCACATTAGCTTACATCTTACAAATGTCATGTCTTCAAAAGCTGCTGACCAAAGCAAGTAAATACCAACCGCAGTTCAGCAATGCTTTATCTTTATATCTTTGAAAAGCTTTTTAAAGGAAGCTTGTATTTTAAAATTCATACAGTGGATAACCTACACCCTCCAAGAATGTATTTCTCAAGCAGAGAGTTTGCACTGTTTGATCTGACCAAACGATTGGCCCATCCTTTTCAGGTGACACGGAGGCAGACCACATGGTGGCGGACACCAACAACCGCTATGACCACCTGCTGTGGCTGATCTCGGAGCGGCTGGAGGACCTGGAGCTGATGCTGCAGTTCATGGAGCGCTGCGGCGGGGTCTTCGGCCTGCAAGAGTGGGCCAATGAGACGGAGACCAAGCTGAACCGGCTCAAGCCCACCAGCCGGGAGATCGAGCCGCTGGAGGAGGAGATCCGGGAGTTCCGGGTCATCGTGCAGGACATCGCCTCCAAGAAAGTGAGTAGGGAATTTACCAGTTGGCCATCTTGAATTGAAAGAGGGGTGTTCACCACAGAGAATAGACGGACTTTATTTATGACGCTTTGAGATTTGATAGTGTTTATGTGGTATATTTCTTACTCAATGAAGAACAGATGGTCAGCTGCCGGACCAACAACCAAGGCCAAACCACATATTGAAATTTGGCCCTGTTAAAAAGCTTGGTGGAGAACTATAAGTAGATCTCTTCGATTTTTTATCGATAAATATTGCATTTTTGAAGTCAAATTGCAGGCAATTGCTTTACAAAAAAACTTGGCCACCAAACAACTTACGGATTTTGTTGGCATTTTGGCAAACTCAGGGACCAGTGTCGGACGTGACTGTTCATGCTGAGCAGTTCCTGCGCAGCACCAAAGACAAACTGACCCCCGAGCTGCAGGATGAATTAACCGGCATCGTGAGGGAGCTGCGCACCACCTACGAGCGCCTGCAGGGCCACTCACTGGACTGGCTGCGCCAGGCCGAGGACCTGCTGGCCAGACTCAAGAAGGAGAGAGATGAAAACGTAAGTTCTCGGGGGGGGGGGGAACTTTTGTAAGAGAAATGTTTTTGTTTTTAGGGATTCACTCTTTAAAAAAAGCAGGGCTCATCTGTACACAGGAACCAGACAAGGGAACCAAAAGATTTTTTTTAAAAGAAAAAAATAGTGATATTATGAAGAAAGTGATGTGCCCATGTGTACACGAATTACAATTTTATATCTGTTTTTTACAGTTTTGTATCTAAAATGAGTCCATTCTTGTGCTTAAGGGGATCAGGGTTTATGATCTGGGGTTTCTGTTTTCATTCTGAGCTGACAGTCTTTCAGACTTGGTAAACCGGCTAAGCCAGGGTTTCTGAGTGGACACTTTTTGGAACAGAGGATGGAAGTGTTTGGGAGGTTCTCAGTCCAGAAGTTTTTAATTAAAGTTCTGAGTGGAATATAGTTAACTAGTGAGAAGTCTTCACTTACACTTAAGCACAGGCCAGATGTTTAGGAAATTGAGATATTTAGCAACGTCTTGGGCAAGCAGGGAAATCGCCCAAGGATTGGTCTTTTTTGTCTATATATTTTGTTATAAGGAAGCATCTCAAATTTTGAACTCTTTGGTCTTCAGATGACCCTGGAGGAACGCATCCGCGAGCTGCTGAAAGCTCTGCAGGCACTCCTGGACTGGGTGGCTGAAGCGGAGAGGCGTCTTGGCTCCGAACAACCCCAAGAAGAGACCGTCAGACCACTGACCAAACAACAGACTGAACATACGGTATGTACTTGTGGAAAATTGGTCTTCACTTCTTAGATTCCTCAGGCAGCTACAGGCCAGACACCAGTCTACCATCCCATATACATATTTAAGAGGTTAGCTTTGAGTAGTCTGATCAAAATTCCCAAACCTGGCAAATTGTATTCCCAGCAGATTTGCCCAGTTGTTGGCTGCAGGGAATAAGACCCTTAACCAGACTATTATTTAAAGGCACATTTGTTATTCAACTCAGCATCGGCTGTATGGGTCCCCGTCTCCATTAGAAGAGGTTATGAGGTAACCAGAACCAATTATTTTTACCTCATTGAATCTTTTGATAACAATTTAAATTAGGTCGTTTTAATAATAACATCAACAAAATTGCCTCAAACGGATACTTGTAATTAGTAGTACCCTTCCCTCTCCATTCCCCCCCCCCCGGGACATCTGTAATTCAAATTAAATACAGTCATTTCTTAGTTGAATTCTTCAGATCTTCAGATTTTGAAGTGCATAAAGTGCATAAAGAAAGACCGACATTGTTTTCTTGATGAAAAAGTTCACATTTTCAAATTACCGAAAAACCACCTTTTTTTATCACGTAGCCACTGAGGACTGCACACCAAGAACTTCTTGTAAGATATCTGTGGTTGTGTTATTCCATCACCTCTGTGTTCATTGCATGACAAATGCAAATGATTCTGTTGTTTTGTTAAAATGGTTCAGCGCCAAAGAAGCTGCTGTCTCCGAATTGTTACCTGTGTTTAATTGTGCACTATTGTATTCAGCTAATATAAGTAAGACTTGTTGGTACGGTTTTGCAATTTTTCGTTGCTTTGGCTGAGGTAAATATTTCGGTTTTGGTTTCATTCAGTTGGAAGAACTGAATACCTGGGAGGAAAGGTAGAAACCCAACTCCGTTGAAAATGTTTAGCGGTTATATGTCAAAGGAAAGATCACCTGGAGTATTGATGAGAGCCCCTGGTGGGTCTTTCTCATTTTGCCATAAACGTTGGAGTGGCGCCCTCTCCCATCTCAGGTATTCACATGTATGGTCGTCGTCTTGCCTGACGGTCACACCCACACACCGGTCAAAGTTACTTGTCGTTTGTGTCGGTGGCATTGATTGAATTTTTGCATGGCAGAGGCCCCACATCTGTGGCATGAATATTTCCCGACGCCCACCGTGGGTGGTATACATGTGTTTGCTTTGTGAAGAAACCTTTGTTCTGCATGTTGACACCGTGAAATGGGACATATTTCCATCCATGAAATAGTCCGATGCACCGTAACTGTACATAGTGAAGGGTTACTCAAACGGCCTTCATTCCAGCGGAGTTTTTATTCATCTCCTTGAATTTATGCTGTCATTGATCAATTCCTGAACTTAAGATACACCTTAATTTGATAAAGCTCTTCTTTTAATGCCTGGCACATTCGTCCTTGGTCCTTTCTCTATTCCATTGAAAATCTATATGTGTGAGTCGATGACTTAAAAATCCTTTGGTTGAATAGACAATGTTTAAAGTTACTTCTTCAAAAAGGTTCTTAAAGGTTCTTTAAGCTTCAACTCTCACCTTTATAGTTTTCCAGCTGGGAGACAGATCTTCAACTGTCCGTCTTAGATATTTAATCTGCACTTGAAATTCCCAGTCGGTGCAGTAACTATAACAAGCGGGTCGAGTATCCCATCTTCCCGTGCACCACCAACGTAGAGTTCCCCGGAAATGAAATTCAGCTGATGCAAAGTCTTACCTGGGTAGACATCACATAACGCTTCCTCCTTTTCTTCTCCAGGCCCTGAACCAGGACATCCTGGATCACCAGCAGCCCATCCTGGAGGTGGTGCAGGACGTGGAGAGCTTCCTGAAGCAGTACGGCAACAAGGTGGACCAGCCCAACCAGACCCGGCTCCGCACCCTACAGACAGAGCTCAAGTCCCGCTACGGCGTGGTCAACTTCCAGTCCACCAACCGACAGACCAAGGTTGGGGTTCATCTCAGTGGTTCTGTCGTGACCTTGTAGTTTCTCTAGATAGTATCAACTTTGAAGCCCAATAATGATGTGATGGAGACTTTACCAGGTGTTCTACATCAATCAGATTAGGAGAAGTCAAACTCGTGATTTTTTTGAAATTGTGACAGCCCCTCCTGCTTGGAGAAGAACTTAGTTTGACAAAAGATTAAAAGCTGCCTCAAAAGGTTCCAAAATAATCACGAAGTAAGCTCAGGCAGTGGGGCAGTGTTGAGCTTGAACCTTACAGTGTTGAAGACCAACTGAAAGGTTTATCATCAACCGAAGTAACCAAAACAGAACTGGCAAAGAAACTGGGGAAAACTGGAAATTATTGAGAGTACATGGTTTCCACTGAAAACCATCCGTAAGATTTTACTTCATCATGGTGTAACTTATTTTACTGTAATGTCACTCCTTCAAAACCACGCTTTTGTCGTTTATACTTTTTTGAAGGTTTCAGAATTCAGTCATTTGTTTTCAAAACCATGCACTGATTCTGAACAAATTATTAACTAGTATCCAATTCTCAACTCCTCTTCGTCTTGTTTTTTTTTTTTAGCTGACCACGGCTGTGGACGAGCTGGTCAAGTTCAGTGATGACCAGACCGAATTTGACCCCTGGCTGGCCAAGGCCGAGCAGACGCAGCAGGCAGCGCTGAAGAGCGTGGGCCGGGACCTGAGTACGCTGAGGCAGCAGAGCGGCCAGCAGCGAGCCTTCAATGAGGAGGTGCTGGGAAAGGCCGCCGACCTGCGCTTCATGAACGTGACAGGACTCAAGTTCCTGGATGCCGCCAAGGTGAGCACCTGGAGATTCTCAAGTTCAGGAATGTAGAATCCAAATAATTGCCACAGCTTTTGTTGCGACTACAGTGACGTGGAAAGAAAATCTGAAAAGTTAGAGGGCTTGAATTTTGTCTTGCCAGTTCGATCTTAGCAGAGTCTTTGACAGAAGGTTTTATTAGGATTGAAAGTTCAGACTGCCTACCTTTTTGAATCCTTAATCTTGTCAGTTTTATGCTCTTGACGCAAATTGGACCATTTACCCCTATTTTATTAAGGATGGAGCCTTTTGGTTTTGGATACACTAGTAACAATTTTAAGCGAGAATTTGGCGATCTAGCTGTAGAAACCTTGGGTAAAAATCCTGGCATCTTTAGGGTTGTATTTAACCCTTTTGCTTGCTGTTGAAATTTAATACAAATTTTTGTAATAGTCCTTTTTTTATGGCTGCCAAAAAGCATGGTATGTGTCACTAAAAAGCCAACCCTTCTTGATTCCTCGTTTCCAAACCGTAGGTGTACCGCCAGGACCTGTCAGAGTTTCGGGCCACCGTGCTGCCGCGCGAGTTTGTCCGCTCCTTCACAGAGAACCCAGAGTCCCAGACCATCAACGGCAAGCTGCGGGACAGCAGCGACCGCTTCAACGAGCTGAAGCGCCTCTCAGCCCGCCACACAGAGTTCCTGCAGGACCTGGTGCAGCGTCACCAGGCCTACCAACAGGCAAGCAACATCATGCTGGACTGGCTGCCAGGCGCCGAGAAGACGGTGGCCAACTTGGTCAAGGAGCCCATCGGGGCTGACCCTGCCAGCGTGCAGAAGCAGATCGACAAAGTAGAGGTAGGCAGTCAAAGCTATAAATCACTGAGTGAGAGTCCAAGTAAAATTGCAGAGCTGCCAAGAAAAGAATTGTACTAAGTACTGGTGCTTTAATAAAGTACATTTCCATGACTATGAGTACCATTTTTTTCATGCCAGCGCAAGTATGAATACACATGCATGAGTGTGAGTGCGAGTACCGAAAGAGTATTCGAGTATGAGTACTATAACTCTGCTAAGCATTGAAAAAGGCTAACTGTAAAACCAGGTTACCCGTTAAACTTCCATGTGATGAATATTACATTTGAGTGGTTCTCTGCTGAGCTTGTTTTAACAGCTTTTTGAATTTGCAAATTAACTTCCTTTTTTCTGTTGGATAGCTAATTTTTAGAGTAAAAAGTGTGGGGGCCTCGAGAAACTGCAGCAAATTTAAATAACAGATGAAACTTAGTGTGGGTTTCTTTTCTGTTCAAGAAGTATCCTGACCTTAACTATAAATTGTGTTGTAGGCACTTCGTGATGACGTGATGTTCCATCACAAGGACGTGGAGAACGTCAAAGAGTCAGGCAGTGAAGTGATTGAAGTACAGAAAGAGCTACGGCCAGACATCACCAGAAACACAGGTGAGTTGCTGGCTGTCAAGCTCACTTTTGTCTGTTTCCCTGGCTGTTGCAATGTTTTGTTATTCTGAATTCGAATCGTGCCAATCTCTTGATGTGTGCTTGTAAAAGTTCTCAAGTGGGTTGTATGTCAACCCACCTGTCTTCATGTTGAAAAGGAACATGTTTATGTTTTTGTTGGAAAGGAATGCACACTGTAGCTTGAGTCGAAAGCAGAAACTGTACCTCATGTCAATCAGTGAAAGAAACATTCTGCATTTTTTGCTGTGGAAGGTAGATCACACTCGTCACGGCTGTCAAGAGGTTTGACCACTGTCATTTTCGGGGGTCGCAGCTCGCAGTAACCAAATGGAAATCTTTACCGTCTTCAGCTTTAATCCTGAGCAGTTTGTAAAAAAAATGTATTTAGTAGCGCTGTACCATACAAAGAGTACTTTGACCGATGTTTTGAAACGTGTCGGTGGGAAGCTTGAAGGATCCATTTTATCCAGCTTCATCCATATTTTCTCGGCAGACGACATTGTCAGCCGCTACGAGGCCTTGCAGGCCCAGATTGCCGAGCGGCTGGCTGCCCTGCAGCGGGCCCTGGCCCAGTGCATGGATGTCAAGGAGCAGCTGGACATCCTGCTGCGCTGGCTGGACGAGGCCGAGCGCAACACCCACAAGATGGAGAAGGGCACGCTGATCGCCGTCAAGAGGGAGCCGCTACTGGAGAACATGCAGGGCCAGAAGGTAACTTACGTAGGGTAGAATGCAAAATCGAACCAGAGGTTATTCCAGGTTTTATCCCGAGGAACCCTGCTAAACCCTGGTAAACCTTGTTTGTGCTTATGACAGGTTGGCGATGTTCAATGCTTATCTCATGTAAACCTGGATGTAAAGCTCATAAAATCTTGAAGTAAACCTCATAAACTCTCCTTGAAAACCTCATAAAACCTTGAGGTAAACATAACATCTCTTGGAAAACCTTGTCAAACCTTAAGGTAAACCCCATGAAACCTGAAGAGTGAACTTGAGAACCCTCATCAAACCTTGAGGTTAACTACCTAAAAAACTTGATGTAAACCTTGACTTAAGTCTTGTTCAATTCTGAATTCTTCCCTTTACATATCATCTTGATTAAGGTCTGTCTTCACCCACTGTTGGCTTGGGTTATCAAGTAAGAATACTGGATTGTGTAGTAGGGACGGCATTATGCACCATATTCCAGAGGTCCAAGATTTGTTTTCTGTCTTTCTAGAGCTGGTATTTTCTTCCAGAAATTAAGAAATTAATGCAAAATGCTATCACTTACTGAAGGCTCATCATGGTCATCACCTGTCCATGTGCACGCATTTAATTTCCATTCTGTGGGCCTTCCTTTCACTGCCAATCCTGTAGGTCAACTTCTCGGACATCGAAAACCACCGGCCAGCCGTGGACACAGTCAACGTCAGTGCCCGGCAACTGATCCAGACCAGTGAGCCAACCGAGGCCCGGCAGCTGCAAGGCAAGCTGGACGACATCAACGAGCGCTACGGCCGCATCCACGCCGTCACACTGCAGCACGGCGACTACCTGGAGGGTGTGGCCTACAAGCTGTCAGAGTTTGAGAGTGAGGTGGAGCAGCTGGAGGACTGGCTGCTGCCCACGCTGGAGCTGCTGGAATCCAACGAGCTGACGCAGCAGGACCTGCCCGAGTTCGGCAGCAGGCTGCAGGTGAGCTGTGATTTCACCATGATCTTACCAGCTACAGCTCTGCCTCCAACCCTACTCTCGCAGAAGACTGATACAAACAAACACGAAAAAGTTGTCCTTTTCCACAAACATTGCGCTGTAATCTCCAACAACTTGTGATCTAGAAGACATTGCTTGGTTGTACCAAAGCTCAATCATGTTCGTGCCGAGTTCATTAAAGTTAACAGACTTTGGTTGGATTGCTGCAGTATTGTGCTTAAAAATAACAGTATGTAGAGAACGTTTGCCCTACCTATGTCCCTGTACTTGCAGAAAATTGCATCAGTTGCTGTTGACTCGTAAATCCATGCATGGGCTGATTGCAGATTATCCCAAGGAAGTGATAAGTGACTTCATTCATAAACCTCTAGCTTCAATCATTGCTTAACTCTGTCGTGGCTCATTACTAAATCACATGGTCAGTGAACATCCCAATTTGCTCTCTACAGAGAAGGCTAGTTTTTCAAAATCATCCTGTCCCAGACGCCATTTGAACTACAGTGTGTCATAAATCATAGCCTGCAAAAGCTTAAAGAGACTTATACTTAAAGATCTACAGAAGCACTGTTACATGTGGTCGTCAGACTGTGAGGAAAATAAAGCTGACATTTTATGGCAATTCTTTCATTTGCAGGACCTGATCCGCCAAGCTGACAAATACCGCCCGGCACTGAAGAAGATCAAGCAGATGGGGAAAGAACTGATCGAGGACCCCAAAGCCAAGGACACGTCCCACGTCACTGCCATCCTGACCAATGTGGACTTCAACTGGAAGGCACTGGATGACATCCTGGCCAAGAGGTAGGCATGACTTGGTCCCACTCACGGGTATTCATGAGCGAGCGCAGCTATCTGATTGGTCTCAGGCATGTAGTTGTTAGTGCTGACTTTCCAAGCAGAAGAATTGAAGCCAATTTGAATCGTCTTGGGAGAGGAAACATTGAAAAAGCACCCAGGATATCATAAAACATTATAACGACATCTACATGGATTATGAAGGGGTCTAATCCTCAAAATAAAATCTGGAGTCGTTTAAAAATATTTAAATGTATTATGAAATCCTTGTGGAAGTTATACTGAAATCCTTGTCAGTTTTTTTTTAGAGTGTGAGTTTTAACAGGAATTATCTCCTTTTCCTGATTTTTCTGGTTTCAAGTAAGCGTTCCCCCCAGAAACCATATCTAGACAGTTTGTGAGAACTTCATATTCAAGGTTGAATTAATTCTCCAAAATTCTTGAAGTTTGAACAAAAGTGTAAGACCTTTACTCCCAGAAAGCAAATTTGTTGGAAGCACAAGCCATCGAACAACTTCCAAAGTCACTCGCCAGAATTACTGAAGTTGCATTGTCATTCAAATTGCTGTGCATTTCATCCAACTTTGTCGACCTCACTTCATCCCACCAGGAACAAGCAATTTGAGGAGCTGACCGCCGCCAACAAGCGCTACGGCACCACGCGTAAGGACGTGACCTACTGGCTGGACACCACGGAGCGCCGGCTGGACCAGGTGCAGCCAGAAGCCCTGGACCTCAACACCATCCAGGTTCAACTCAAGGAGCTCAAGGTCAGCACAAATATCATTGACTCACCAAAGTGTGGGTGGCTATGATCCGATATTTAGCAGGACAGGGATGGTTGGGCTTTGGACCGGAAGTGTAGAGGGAGATGTTTTTGCATTCCTTGTCTTGAGTTGTGCCTTCTCGTTTCCGTTCACAGTGTAAAAGGCTTTGAAATAATACTATACCTCATCTTCTATTCTTTTTAAGTCTGTGCAAACATTTTGATATCAAGTAGGAAGTAAAAATAAATTCCTTCAACCCAAAGGTTTTAAAGGTTGAAAACTGCACTGTTACAAGTTCAGTTCAGTGTATTAGCTAATTAATATTCATCCCCTGTGTTAAATTGTGCCAACCTTTCAAATCGTATCTCTATGTTCATCTCCCATTACCTTCTTGAATTCACCCAACAGCCCCTCCAGAAGGAGATTGTGGGCTACAGGCCCAAGATTGACGAGAACACCAAGACGGGCAACACCCTGGACACACTAACCAAGGAGGTCGCCCAACCCGTCCAGGCGTCACCCCACTACCGCTCCACGGAGCTGTCCGAAGTCACCAAGGACAAGACACTCAGGAAGCCCGAAGAACCGGTCCAGTTCCTGGGTACGTAGATCCTTCAAAGAAAAAAAAGATTGAACAACTCAAGGGGAGAGTGCAGAATTGAACAAGCCCTAACTTTAGGTTGACCTCAAGGTTTTTATGAGGTTTGACTGGTTTTTGTGAAGTACCTCAGGGTGAAACCTCAAGTTACGCATGATCCCCTCACAGCAGAAGGCCAGTTTCATGACAGACTTTGGCCAAAGGCAGTGTTATAGTGAAATCCATCACAAAACCTTATAAGTCCATCATGAGCCGTCCGGTCTGGAGCCAAGTCACGAGCTATTCAAATGAACTGTGACAAAAGCTTTCCTGTTACATATAACCGTTCTTTTAACCTTTTGATCAGACTTGGAATGGATTCAGGCAATGAGTTTTGATTGACTCGACAGCAACAATGGCTAAACTCGGCTTGAGTAAAGTTTTGACTTTTATGGATGACCTTTGTGCTTCAGGTGAGACCACCATCCAGCGTGAGGTCAGTGAGGTCATCCGTCGCTACGATGACCTCCTCCGCCGCATCCAGATTGCCCTGGATGACCTGACGCTGTCGGAGCAATGGGTGGAGCAGCACGCCGCCCTCAAGACCTCCCGGGACTGGGTGACCAGCTCGGAGGCCAAGATGGAGAAGACACGACCCATCAGCAACGAGATCCAGCCGCTGACCAAGGAGATCGAAGTCTTCAGGGTAAGGATGGTATAATCAGGGAATTGATCTGATATTAGGGGACTGTCTGCTAGATGACGGACTTCAATTTGAGACATTATATGTATATTCTGATTTTTGAATATCAAAATTTACCTATATTTTTGTTATATTCTCTACACCTTGTCACAAGCCAAACCCTCAGCCTTACTGCTAATAGCTGATTGAGGTGTAACATTCTTACCTGGGTTCTGGCAGAACTTCAAAATATGGAAGGAAATTATGCATGTATAAATTTTGTTTTAACATCCGAAAAGAAAAAGTAATCCTGTAGACTGGAAATTTTATATTGCACTCTTGACTACTGACAGGTGCGGACTATTTTTATTGACTGTGTTTGCTGTTCTCTGAGTTTAATATTGGAGAGGCTAAAATTGGAATTTGCACTCAAACTTCATTTACCATACCTTGCTTAAGGCTTCAGTTAGAGTAGTTACTTTAAAAAAGTGGGGAACATTTAAATGCATTACTTGTAAGTCAACTCTGATTGCTCCACAGGGTGTGCATAGCGACATCCGCAGCCGCCAGCCCCAGATTGCAGATGTGGTGACCAGCTCGGAGCAGTTCCTGCGCAAGAACCGGGAGCGGCTCTCCCCCAAGCAGCGGGAAGAGATGGAGCGCCGCATCGAGGACCTGCGCACCAACTATGACACTGACTACAACCGGGTGGACGACTGGCTGAAGGAGGCCATCGACCGGCTGAACCAACTCCAGAAGGAGTATGAGTACCGGGTGAGTCATAAATAACTGAGTACCACTTGAGTGTCATTTACAAGTTATGAGACATGAGTAACTGAGTGGTGACTTATGTGTGAGTTATGGGTCAGGGCTGAATAGTTATATCATTGGTGACTTGAAAAAACAGGATGAGTCATGAAGTATCTGAACAGTAACATAAGCTTAGTTATGCTTTGGTTATTGCTGTGAGATTAGTTTTTAGACATTCCAGAATGAGGTGCTGGTAGGAGAGTGGTGAGTAAGAGTTGAGGTGTGAGTAATTATAGACTGGCCAGGCAGCATGAGCTGCAAAATTACGAGTTCAGGTTTATATAATTATGAGTTTTAATCAGTGGTAGAAGCAACAGGATTAAAACCAGTATGTTTTCAATGAGTAATGAAAAACAACTTTTTAACTTCTGAATGAAGAGAGAAGACTGTATGATGTGATTTGAGCAAGAAAAAATCATAATTAAAACTGATTTTGAATCTGTTTGAATTTTTTTTCTAGATGCGCCTGGAGGGTCAGATCAAGGAGAAGAGTCTGAGGCTGCAGGAGCTGTTGGACTGGCTGACCAAGGCCGAGCAGGCCCTGGGGGCAGAGCAGCCACTCAGCGAGCAGTCACAGCCACTCACCAAGCAGTATAGCCAGCACAAGGTATGGTGCTGACTCTCTCAAAGATGGCGGCCATCTTGGTCATGTTCCCTGAAGTCAGTACTTTCATTGCTGTGATATATTTACTTCTTTTTGAACACCAGACTGATTGTGTGAACCCAAGATAAGCTTCACTTTGAGGCCTTTAAATATCTAATTTGTAAACTGAAGAACAAGGCATCTGTTTTGAATGTTTTGAATGTCTTATGCCGTACTAGTTTAATGATGGCTTTTGAATGGATCTTTTGTCCAGCCACTGCACGATGACATCCAGGCTCACCAACAGCCCATCCTTCAGTGCATCGAGGACATTGAGCAGCTCTTCAGCATCTTTGGCGACAACATCCCCGCCGCAGACCGCACCCGGCTGCGAGACGGCCAAGGCCAGCTGAACTCTCGCTACGAGAATGTGCACAGCGCCAGCCACGACCGCATCAAGAAGCTGAATGCAGCCATCGAGGACATCAACAAGCTGGAGGCCGACTCAGCCGAATTTGCTGACTGGCTGCGGGCTGCCGAGCAGCAGATGGACACGGTGGAGAAGAACGTCGGCCAGGACCTGGAGACACTACGGAAGCAGTCATCGGACCACGCGCAGTTCACTGACGACATGAACGACCAGAAGGGAGACTTGAAGTTCCTGAACAAGGCCGGCCAGACCTTCCTGGACTTTGCCAAGGTAAAGGGCCAAAAACGGGTTTCTAGAGTCAAGATTTCCTTGAGTTGGAACCCAGATAGAGTGAGGTCAGTGATGACATTAAGTGCATGTCTTTAAATCCAAATTGAGCTGAGTTGAAAAGGACTCGAGTCCAAGCCAAGTTGCGAGTCCAGGAATAACTGGACTCGAATGTGGACTGGTTTGGGTCGAGTCTTCCATCATCAAGCAAGGGTACGCAAAGGTTTTCCGTAGTTACACCAGAACTCATGAATCTTACCTGCTTTTTCAATTAATAGTATTAACTCTCTGAAAATTTCACCATTTCAAAAAAATGTACAACAGCACTTTCCGTTTTAAAAACCTGCTAGAGAGAGCCATAGTGATCTTTAAAAGCCGCTCCAATTTTGAACAGAAAAAAAAATTGGCCATCAGGAACACATGAAATGAAATGTTTGACCAAAGTTTGAAGTATTTCCATTAGATTAGGGTTTAGAGATAACGGTCGACTGGGAAATGGCGTGTGATTCCATAATATTCTGACTTTCTTTCTGTGTTGAACACGTCGCTTACAGGTCTATCGCCAGGACCTCGCTACCTTCCGCGACAACACCCTGCCACGCCAGGTGACCCGTGCCTTCCAAGAGAGCCCCGAGACCAATGTGGTCCGCAACCAGCTGAGCGACCTGAGCGGGCGCTTTGAGAAGCTGAAGCTGCGCTCGCTCAAGCACGGACGCACCCTGCAGGAGCTGCTGGAGAAGCACCGGGCCTATGCCGAGCGGGTGGCCGCCACCTCGGGCTGGTTGGGTGGAGCGGAGAAGACACTGGAGACACTGCAGCGGGAGCCCGTGGGCGTTACCGCAGACGTCATCATCAGGCAGATTGAGAAGGTCAAGGTAGGGAGGGACGTTGTCAACCTCTTTTTTTGCCTGTAATGTTGAGGGCACTTCAGAATTTCAGGGTATACAAATCAGTTATAAATCAGGAGCTTAGTATATTTATTTTTGTGAATTTTCAACCTCACAAGTTCTTTTTTCTGGCATAAATCCAAGCATGAATTCAGCCTCAACACTGGGACAAATCTCTGTGCTACACAATTTTGTTAGTTGAAATAAGCAACGAAGTCTGTTGAAGAAGTTCTGGAACTGCTTCAGAGACCTTCACAATGCCCTTGTTTTTCTGCACTTAGACATTCCACGAGGACGTGATTGCTCATGCCAGCGATGTCGAGAACGTGAAGGACAAGGGCGAGGACGTCATCAACATCCAACCAGAAGTCAGACCAGTCGTGCAGAGAACCACAGGTGGGTCTAGGTTCCATTGTCTCAGGATCTCAGTTTTTATTTGTAAAAATGTTTCTAGCGTTCCAAAGCATTGGTATCTGGAAACTAGGCAGGTTGGATTCTTTCCTAAAATGGAGCATTTTTAAAAGCTGAGACACTGGAATTTAATGATGGGAATTTTTTGGGGGGACAGCAAATAGAATGTACAAATACGTAGTTTCGTTTCCATGGTGGTCGTTATTAGTTCTGTGAAACGTTTTTAGCAAAGAAATTTAAATGAGTTTAAGGCCAGGAAATAGAAATGGCAAAGCCTGGTCAAAGATAACTCTCTTCCTGTGATTCTTGATTTACTCGTGAGCTGCAGAATTTCTCCAGAATTAAATGAACCTACCTGTTGAGTTTCACCTTCCAAACTGTTTTGAGTAATTGCGCAAACAGGATGTCGTCACCATAAGGAAGTAGTTAATGATTTAGATGTCCGCAACATGAATTAGTTGTTGTGACAATGGGGGCCTTATATTTTATATCAAATCGTAGGGAATGTCTCTTTCGGGACCGTCATTGATTGTGGAATAACAAACTGGCCTCTGTGATTGCTGCCAGTGCAGAGGGACAATTTATGCCCAGTCTCATTTCCTGTGGTCCTTTCATTTTGACCGCAGGCGTGATCGTGGACCGCTACAAGGCCCTGGAGGCCGGGGTCAACGACCTGCTGGAGAAGCTGCAGCAGGCCCTGAGCCAAACGCAGAGCGTGGAGGAGAACCTGGACATGCTGCTGCGCTGGCTGGACCAGGCCGAGAAGAAGGAGCACACGCTGGAGAAGGGGACGGTGATCGAGGCCCGCCGGGAGCCCGTGCTGGAGCAGATCGAGAACACCAAGGTATGGAGCGTGGAAGAAAAACCGATTTTTAAGATTCTGACCTTGATTTTTGCACAGCATAAGTAAATAAAAGGGTTATAGTCATCCTCGGCGTCAGAGCAAAATCACTTCTGTCGGGCCTACACATCCCATGTCTTGTATACGTGTTCAGGATAAAAAGTTGAGCAACTTTTGACGTCCCCGATTTGTAATACAACTTTTCTTTTCCACCCGATGGGTGCATACAACGGCTTATCCATCTGCGACAAAGTCAAACCACCTTCAAGATGTTATACAATACCAAATGTCCTCGGGCATGAAAGTTTCCCCGGAGCAGCTGATTTCCTTGTTTTTCAGTTCACACTCATGCCATTGAAAATTGAAAACACCGTTCAAAGTCTTGTAAAGATTGGAATGTCCTCATGTTCTTGTCACAGTCCAAGTTCTATGCCTGTGTCTTATAGCCTTGAATTCAAACTCAAACAGTAGCAAATTCAATGACCTTTTTGGTACAAAAATGCTTGTCACATTGTAATCTGTGATATGCCCATACTATCTGTTTCATGTACAAGATTGATTGTAAACTTCTGAAAACTAAGACACAGGTGCTCATTACCAATGCTTGTTTCACAGTACATTGAGAAAGATAAAAGACACTTAACAACTGCAAAGTTTGACTCACGATGTTCTCTGAATCGCGTCATACAAGCAACCTGTATGAATCACTCTTTGATTCAGTTCTTTCTAGAAAAATAAACATCCTAAATTTCCAAACTGTGGTTGACGGGATCTTTTTTTCTCCGACCCCCCCGCAGATGCTAGAAGATGACATCACCAACCACCGGCAGGCCATCGACAACGTGAATGTGGCCGCCCAGCAGTTGATGAAGACCAAGGACCCCAAGGACGCCCAGCTGATCCAGGCCAAGTTGGACAGCGTTAACACCCGCTACACCACAGTGGACTCGGCCACCCGCAACCACAGCCAGGGGCTTGCCAGCCTGTCAGACAAGCTGGCCGAGTTTGAGCGGGAGGTGGACGACCTGGAGGACTGGTTACTGCCAGACATGGAGACGCTGGAGTCGCGGGAGGTCATGACCCAGGACAACACAGAGGCGGTACTCAGGGTAAGGGCGCGGCAGACGGGGAACTTTACAAGACATTGCAGTACCAGTGACTTCATTGACTGAATATTGATCTTTTAAATCACAGGTCAAATTACAAGACTCGTTACAACTTGGATAACGAGAGAGAAAGTCTCAGAGAAAGTCTGTTGGGTGACAGCACAAATCCTACCTTGTCCGTAGAACATTGTGGGGAAGTCAACATTCCTTTCTTGACAATGCTAAACAAAGACATTTACGGAAATACCTTTTCAATGTCAGGACTCACTTCACCTTTGACATCATGGTAATGGCTTGATAGCTCCCTTAACACAGTGCAGCAAAACTTGCACTCAACTCAGAGTTGTGCGTGAGCAAAAACCCTGTTGTTTAAACTGTACATGCTAATCCTCAGTGCAATGGATGATTAGTGTTTTGCCGAACTGCAAGCAATCATTGGAATTTTTTTTTTCGTCCCTGTCCCCCCTCTGCAGGAGATCTCGCGCAAGTACGAGGGTCGCCAGCCACAGCACCAGAAGATCCACCAGCTGGGCGAGGCGCTCCTCAGCAACCCCAAGGCCAACGACACCTCCTACATCACGGCCGTGCTGAAGAATGTGGACCTGAACTGGAACGACTTTGACGAAGTCCTCAACAAGAGGTGGGTTTCAGTCCTTGAACACATTACGGTTAGGAAGTGTCACCTAAGATCCAACTTCAAAGACCAGCTACAAGGCCATCAGCAAAATGTCAATTGCGGCAGTCGGTTTGCATAACACATTAACGTGTGATCAAATCTCCTCTGAACATACACATCAACACTGTGTATGAAACTTGTTTTGGGGAAAAGACTCGGACTTGCAAATCACATAGTCCCAGGAAGTCCATCACAAGCCATTCAGTCGCGTGCCAAATCACACGCTGTGTCATGAGCATCCCTTCGTCATTGTCCCCACTGGCACTTGCCACAGGTCTTTCGAACTCAGGACTTGCAATGGTCTTTACTACAGCGCCATCATAAATCACACGCCAAAATACTCACAGACAAGTGGCAGGAATTTTTGTGGTTTTCGGGGCAAGACCGATTCCTGAACCGATCTCGATCTCCCTTCGCCACTCCAGGAACAAGCAGCTGGAACAGAAGCAGGAAGCGGCCAAGAAGTACGGCAACAGCCACCGCGACGTGACCGGCTGGCTGACCGACACCGAGCGCCGATTGAACCAGCTCCATCCGGCCGGCCGCGACCTGAAGACCGTGCAGGCACAACTCAAAGAAGTCCTGGTACTAGAAGAGTTCTAATCAATTCCTCTAGATCCCTCCAAATCTGAAGGACATTTTGTCCATTTTAATAAGGACATATCTGGCCATGTGAATCAAATGAAATATGTTGACAGTTTCTTCTGACTCCCACGGTGGAACGACTCAAAGTTGTTCTGGGAACATACAGCTCAACGTTGTTGGGTTGGTCACAAATGTGCCTTAATTGCAAGTATTAGATTTTCTTAACAATTAAGATGCCAGTAAAAATAGACATGTGGAATGTCCTCTTTGGCTGGTCCCCAGCAAAAATATGTTCAGTTTAACAGTGCTACAAAATAGTTTGTTTTGACTTCATGCAAAGAGCCATAAATGCAAAATTTAAGAAACATACCAAAAATAACACATCAAACACACAGGCAGCAAATGATACCGTGTATTTCAAATTTTGTCATGACCATTTTGTTTTTTTTTCATGAAAAAAAAAAGCCATTCCAGAAGGATGTGGCCGACTACAAACCCAACATGGACAACCTGAACAAGCTGGGCCACGGCTACGACGCGGTGGTGCGGGAGGTGGAGCAGCCTGCCTACAAGCAGCCCCACAGCCGCTCTACCCAGGTGGGGGAGAGGAAGAAAGGAGATGCCCGCCTCACCCCGGCCAAGGGGTTGGCAAGGGACACCCGACCCAAGCCCACAGACCTGGACAGGAGCGGACTGATGGAAGGTCAGTATTGGGCTGTAGTTGACACCCCTCTTGTGTAACGACCCACACTCTGTGGAGTATAAAAACTGGTGATCCCAGTGTTTCTGTGCATGAACCACTTGTCAGTGGTATCATTTTGGGCCGAAAGTTTCAATTGCCAATAAAGGGGCAAGATATAGCGGACAGTTTGTGTGATGTGTGATTCATACTGTCTTGTGTTTGAATAGCCGAGTGCCTCCCTTCATTCACACAAAAATCCAAATTTGGACTTCTCACTGTGAAAGGTTGTGTGTTGTAGAAGTTTGGCAAAGGGGCAGATCTGCATTTCTTGTGATGTCAATGTGTAGAAGTTCTGCCTCTCAGGTTGATGTGTCTGTCCAATTTCTTTGGTTAATGAAATTTAACTTTAACTTACTTTAATGAAAATCTTTTCTAAAATAAAATCCAACGTAACTGGAATCTGGTCATTCAAAATGGCATTTCATATATCTTCCCAACAATTAAGACAACTTCATTAAGTCTTTAATATGAATGGAGCAGTGAACTTTGAAAAATTTCCCCTTGCTCTACAGAGACAGAAACTCAGCGTCAGCTGGACAGTGCCAACAAGCGCTACAATGATCTGAAGGTCAAGATTGACTTCCGGCTGGATGACCTGCGCCTGGCCGAGCAGTACATTGAGCGGGACAGTGCCGTCAATGAGCACCTGACCTGGGTCACAGCAACCGAGACCAACCTAGAGAGGATGAGACCGTCCACCATGGACATCGAGCCGCTGGAGAGGGAGATCGACGATTTCCAGGTGAGGGGAAGGGCTGTGAAACACTGCTCAGATTTGCAGAGCGGACTAGTCAGCGGTGCTGGACTTTAGACCATCACAAGACTTGGCACAAAAATCATTCACAAGACCAGTCACAAGATCAGACACAATATGAGGCACAAGACCAGTCACAAGAACAGTCTTAAGACCAGTCACAAAACTAGTCACAAAATCTGTAACAATACCAATCACAAGTAACAGGGTGAACAGTGACAAAGGAATGCTCTCGCTGCCGTTTCTTTGAATGGCTTCTTACTTGGCTGAAGACTGGATGACTTTTGACTGACTTGCATTGTTACCTAATATTGACAATGACAATGTCTTCTCAGTGCTCCTCAGTGTCCGGCATATCAAACATCTCCAAATTCTGCAGATTGTAGGCACCAGTTCAGCTGGTTCAGTTGCATGTTACCTTGGGGCAAGTCAAGCATCTTTGTTTCACTACAGATCATTTCGTCTCTCCCAGGATTAAAATGGTAACTACTGTGGATGGAGAAAGTCGATTTGAATCAACCCTTCATGCTGGAATGTCAGTATGGAGCCTTATACTATCTCCAATATCTTGCAAGGAATGTTCATAGGCCCTAGATAACCGGCCATTGTAGCATTCCTCCCTGAGTACTCATGTTGAGAATTCTTGTCTTTATCAAGGGTGCCAGATTTCAGGCTTCTTCCTGTAAAACGTTGGGCCAGATTTAGGTCTTTTATAACAAGGCACACTTGGGCATCTCTGGCCTCATCTTCAGGCTATGAACAAGTACCTGTCTGGCATCCTGGCTTTGTGAGCATGCGTTTTAGTCAGATTTGGGGCAATTAAACAACACCTTCGTCGACACATTCTAATTCATGGCCCTTCCTTCTTCTCTCGACAGACCCTCTGCTCCCAGATCACGGTCAAGAAGTCGCCGGTCAACGAGTCCTATCTGAAGAGCACCCAGTTCCAGCAGGACCACCGCGACAAGCTGGGCTATGACCAGCAGGAGGACCTGAACCAGAAGACGGTCAACCTGCGGGAGACCTACGACCGGCTGGACCTGCGCTCCCAGGACTGGCTCAAGGCGGCCCAGGATGACCTGGCCCGGCTCAAGAGGGAACGGGACGAGAGAGTGAGTTCTCGAAGGAGAATCTGTGACCGAAATATCTTATTGGATGGGCTGGGGTTGGAATAAAAACTATGTTGTAGCTGGCTCTATAAAATGTATGGTAAAGTTGCATCTCTGTGGAGCGAGGGATTAACCTTGTGTTTCATAATGGGTTGGTAAAATTCTACCGAGAAACATGTTTCTCTTCAATTGGCTATTTTTTGGGATGGGCTGTGCATGTGTGTACATGTGCCCAGGCTGATACCTCATTTGGGAGGAAGATTACTATCATTAGGAAAATTCAAACCAAGCTTGGGAGACTTGATGATGTCCCCATGACTGTTTGCAGTCCCGCATTGTATCGTGCAACACGTTTATGGACCCCACAACTAGGGACCAACTATGTTTGATCTGCAAATCCCCAAATCGGACTAGAGGCACCAACAAATTTCCGTCTTGAAAACCTTTGGGGGTAAAAGTAAAGCACACAAGAGTAAATGTGCAGTATTTTCCACCACACAAACCTGTCAAGTGTCTCACAAATTCTACCTTCCGTCATTACCTTTCTCCTCGTAGCTTGCCCTGGAGGAGAGACTCCGCCGGCAGCTGGCGGCCCTGATGAACCTCCTGGACTGGGTGGCCGAGGCCGAGAGGCGACTGGGCTCCGAGCAGCCCATGAGCGACGAGGTCAAGCCGCTGACTGGACAGGCCAGGGAACACCAGGTGAGTAACACCCAGAGAATGTGGCCATCTCTGATGACAGCCCCGAGGCAGTGGCCCAAGAGCTCAGTGCATTGAACCTTGATCAGTCCAACATTGTTCTCGTGTGGACCATTCATACCAACCCACATGTTATATAGCCTTCAAGATGTAGGATTTCATTACAGAAAGTGTACGCAATGGTGTTTTCAATCAGTGCTTTGTAAGACTCTTCAGCTGTATGTACACTACTCGAAAATAGTTTAGGGCCACTTTTTTCTTAACGTGTAATTTTTTTCCAAGCAAAGAGTGGGATCTAGTTCTTTCATTTTTTGTTTGTCTTGATAGTTTCTCATTGGAATGAAAAAATTAAAAAATGTTTCAAAACATCAAATGCACATTTTCAGCTGTAAAGTGACTCATTTAAAAGTATACACAAAATAAAAAGTGGTCCTTAACTTTTTTGAGTAGTAAAGAATGAACAGCATGATATGATGCGTTGGGTGATCCGGGTCACGTCGTCAACGTGTTAAGTGGGTGAATTGTTCAGATGGACCACTAATACACAATAACATGTGAACAAGTCAGACTGGGCCAACTTGAGTGGGTCTGTTGAGTGAAATATGGTAAAAATGTGCAGATGTTAAGGTTTCCACTGAGCAAAGACCGATCAGAAGATTTGCAGCAGTTCCCTTGGCAGAATGCCAGCAAGTTGTTTCAGAGGTAGAAATGAGATTTGAATCCAGTTGTCAGTTGCTATGGTCATTGTATTGTATGCGAAATACGTTAATAAGTGATATTTCTGTCCACTCTTGCAGGTGCTGCACGACGACATCCTGGCCCACCAGCAGCCTGTGGCCCAGGAGATCCACGGCGCCAAGCAGCTCCTTGACGAGCACGGCACCCGGCTGCGGCCCGAGGACCGCAGCCGGCTGGAGGACATTGCCGGCGAGCTGAAGGACCGCTACGACGTGGTTTACGTGGAGTCGCAGACCAGGCAGAACAAGCTGCAGGGCGTGCTGCCCGACCTGGAGAAGTTTGCCTTCGAGCGGGACGACACAGACCGCTGGATCAAGGAGGGCACGCAGCAGCTGCAGCAGGCCAAGCGCAGCATCGGCACGGACTTGCCCACACTCAAACAGCAGCTGTCGGAGCAGGACCAGTTCAACGAGCGGATGGTGGCCGAGGGGGCAGATGTACGCTACCTGAACATGAGCGGCAACAGGATCTTAGATGTTGCTAAGGTGAGAAGATGCCCACCCATTCACCTCATTGAAAGTAGAATCCTTTAGGACAGTTGAGTGCAGCGGAGATTGAAAAAGCTTTAATGTAACGTAAAACTAACAGCACTCATACTAAGACTGAGATTTGCCAATTTAAATACGGAGTTCCACTAATGACATCATCGGCAGATTGGTTGTATTTAATAGTCAGAAGCATGTTCAGCAGTGGTCATGAGCAGGTTCAAACCCTTTGTATAGAATAGGTACTGTTCTCTACTAGGCCTGTTCTTGTGATACTGAATAAACAGTTGGCCAAGTCCTCATTAAGAACCTCTTTCTTGGAAGACCTAAAGGACATACTTGTCTTTGCAACTGTGATCTTGAACTACTTCACTGGTTTTGAGGACCAAATTGAAGAACAGTTTATAATGGGAGATATCTCTCCACAAGTCAGCTTAAACTACGTCTTGAGTTCCTCACAACTGGAAGATCTCCCAACTCTGTTTCTTAAACGTTTCTTTGTTGGCAGACCTACCGCAAGGACCTGGAGAACTTCCGCACCACCGTCCTGCCACCCAAGTTTGCTAAGACCTTCCAGGAGGCTCCCGAGCCTGCCTGGCTGCGCGACAACCTGATGGACATAAACTTCCGCTACAACGAGATCAAGGCCCAGGCCACAGAGTTCACCCTGACCATGCGTGACCTGGTGGACAAGCACCAGAAGTTCCAGGACGCCTGCGCCCCCTTGCCGCCCTGGATGGAGAAGACGGAGAAGGTGCTGGCCAAGGTCGTGCGGGAAGCCATCAGCGCTGAGCCGGCCGGCATCAAGAAGCAGATCGAGGAACTCAAGGTGGGTTCCCCCCCCCCTCCAAAAAAAATTCCCAGTTTCCCAGTGGGGAAATGATCTGCATTTGTGAATCGGGAAATGCTTGAAGAGAGCTGATAGGCCGTTCAATTAAATTCAAGAAATTGCCAGAATGTGATTCTCCTTGATGGTATCAATTGCAGTGTAGTGTCAGTATCAGGTCAACTAACTGGGAATCATGGGTGTGAAATATACTCTGTTTTTTACTGGTATTTGGAGAATGGACACTGTAAAGAGAATTTGATCAGTTTTGTTTCTTGTTGGCCAGTTGAAAGATCAGAAGAGCGCTTTCAGTTGTACTCTTCGTTGGTTTCCGTATTCTGGTTGAATTTCTTTTCTACTGCAAAATTCTCGGCATTTGTGGCCAAAAGCACTAATTTTGTTGACTGAATTTGAAAAAAAAAATGAGAAAAAGCACTGTGCACATTTTGCACTCGCAAATGCATTTCCCAGAGCCAAAGAAAAGAAGCGTATCAAAGGTGAGAACTTTATTGTCTATTTTCTCCTCATAAATGTACACTCCTTGCCATTCAGCCAGAGGAGATGATACTCATGTCTGATGAACTCAGAGTAAGACGTCTGTCGTGTTAGGAACCATTTCCGAACAGCATCTCCGGATAAGTCGTTGTCATGGGCACAGTGTCAATATACAAATGAGATTTTTTGTGGTCGTCGATGCATCATTACAAGGGTCACATCTCAGCGACGTACCCGGAAATGCTGTTTGTGAAAATGTTTCTGTGTTGCATGAAACAAATGTGTACCTGTCAAGATGTGGTGTGGAAATGAGTTTTTCAAGTTTTCTTTATTTGAGCAATCATGTTGTTAGGTGGATACCACATTTCCTGTTTAGTCATTTTGCCCTTGTGTGATCATGCCTTATTTTTTTTGAAGTTCTAGTTCTGGTTTGCTTGTATTTCTGAATCTTAGCACATAGTTGTGATGTATGTGAGAATGTGAATTTTGATTTGAAATGAAATGCTCGTACCAAGTTTTGTGATCTGGGCTAGTGACATCCTTGCTACCAATTCCAATCAAGCTTTGTAAATCCAGGTTCTCGTTTGAATCAGATTCCATGGTTTCATTGTAGTTGTATTGTGAAATATTGTAAGAAAAAAAGGCTGTGGTCTTTGGCTAGCTCAGGTTTTGCACTTGTTGTCTGTCATTTGTCTTAATGGGAAAATTCTGTGTGTCTAACATGATGATGTGCAATCGATCCTCTCCGCAGACCGTGAGGATGGACGTCATCCAGCACTACAGCGATGTGGAGAAGGTCCGAGATACCGGTGACGACCTTGGCCAGGCCCACGTGGCTGTCAAGCGTGACACCGACTACAAAGTCGGTAAGTAACAGGCCGAATTCTGTGGCAGTAGTAGGTTTGTCTCTTTGTTCCCTCCCAAATTGTGATGTCAAATTTTGTCCTCTAGGCTTGTCATAGAACAGCATGAAACATTTAATATTGCATGCGATCATATTCAGGCTGTTGATATTCTAATCTGGTTCTGTATAAGCCACACTTAGTCAGGTTACGTGTATCCGAATTATTCTGCTGTAGCCTTGTACTATCAGTCACAAGTGAGTACTGATAAGTTAATGTGCACTTACCCGAGCACCAAATGAACACTGGAAATATGGGGTCGCTATTTTGCATTTTTAATAACATACGACCATGGTCCTGTTTATCCACCCCATCTACTAGTGACTGTTTATAAGCATGCACTGGATTGACTCACCAACCCGACAGGCTAAGCATTTTTTTTTTCCCCCCCACCAATCTTCAACCCCAACCAGACGAGATCGTCAAACGTTACCAGGCCCTGCAGGCCACCATCGACGACCGGCTGGAGGTCCTGCGGGACGCGCTGACCGCCGCCCTGGACCTGCAGGACCAGCTGGACCTGCTGCTGCGCTGGCTGGACCAGGCTGAGAACGATGTGCACAAGCTGGACAAGGGCACCCTGCTGGTCATTCAGAAGGAGCCCCTGCTGGACAACATGGAGGCCCAGAAGGTGGGTATTCCTCTCTGCCTTTGTGGGTGAGGATGAGAGTTGGGGTGCTGCCCCCTTGGGAAACTTTTATGAAGCAAAACAAAAAAGGGAAAAGATAAAAAAAGAAAATACAAAAAGGAACTAGAAATGAGAACTTTCTAGGAAAAAGCCTCTGGATTGGTGCTGAAATTTTTGTTGGTTCGAGGGTTGATATCACAAAGTAATTTCCTTCTCCCCATGGGAGGAGCCGTGTCCTCTTCTTGAGAGTGACCACAACTGTCCCATCTGCGAAAATCTGCATCATGTCAGCACCTTTATCAGACGGGAAAAGTTGTTTTTCCATTGAGTTCACTCTTCAGCCTGATGTGCCAGCATCGTAGAAAATTTGGGATTCACTTGGACTCTCTGAATTACAGATTTATTGTTTGTTCTGAGCTTGCATCACAGGACAAAATAAGAACAGAGATCAATCACATTTGAGATGTGCAGTGCATTTTAGGTGATTTTGGAGGAGGTAAAATTTAACGTTACACCAATGATTTCAAATCAGTTCATTCTCTACAGCAGTTTCACATCGTTTTTTTTTTCTTACTCATCAGGCTGTCTTCAAGGACATCGAAGACCACAAGCCCACCATTGACACAGTCAACCGCCTGGCAGCCACCCACGTCCAGACCAAAGACCCTGAGGAGGCCAAGCTGATCCAGACCAAGCTGGACAGCATCAACCAGCGCTACGCCGCCGTGCGGGAGGCCACCATGGACCACGGCCAGGTGCTGCGCTCGCTGACGGACCGGCTGGCCGACTTTGAGCGGCAGGTGGACGAGATGGAGGAGGAGGTGCTGCCGCAGCTCAAAACGCTGCAGTCCAAGGAGTTCATGCGCAAGGACATCCCCGTCATCAGCAGCAACCTCAAGGTGAAGAGAGAGCGAGACTTTGAAATCTACCTCTTTGCAGAAATAGTGCCAGCCGTTTCCTCCCTCCCCCCCAGATATATCTGTTTGACCTAAACACCTCAGTGCCCACACAGATAGCTTTGATGCTTCATCAGTGCATGGATAAAAAAACAATCTGGTATTTCAGTGAGACAAAGGTTCGAATATGTTCAAGGAGCTTGAGTTGACATATGGCCACATTGGAAAGGCTGATCTCATATGTGAACACTCACCCTTAAAAATGTGCTTAATTTTGTGCCTGCTCTTTTGCAAATCCAACTGGCTCACTGAAATTCCAGCATGCCATTATATATTGTCCCCTTGATGCCAAAATCCATGTCTAATTTTAAAAAATAATTCAGACACCCAATTCAGATATTACGGGCTTTACATCTTGTAATTGTTAACAGAATGTAAATTGAAATGTACGGTAAATTAATGTCAAAATACGTATTGAGTTGATATCGTTTCCTCAGTAAAAAAGAAGAAAGTTTGCATTGGCACCCTTTGTTGAATTTCTGATACGTGCACAAGCTGGTCCCTGAAAATTCCCTTACATGGTTTCTGACGATAGTTTGCCTTCAATCAATTGATATATCACAGAGCATCAAGCAGAAGCTGGACAACCAGCGGCCAGTTAACAAACGCATCCACCAGCTGGGCGAGGAGCTGATCAGCGACCCCAAGGCCAACGACACCTCCCACGTCAAGGCCATCTTGGCCAATGTGGACGTCAACTGGGCCGCCCTGGACGAGATGGTGGCCAAGAGGTGAGCTATCCTCTCCCTTGCTAGCTCTAAAGTTAGAGGGGTTCTATTTGAGAAAAATCTAGAACCAAGCTCTTGTGCAAACCATCGATGCATTATAAAGAGGAATTCGGTCACCATGGTAATGCTATCACTGGTCAATTGCATTGTGATAGCTATTGCATGGAGCTGGCATTCTTTGACAGTTGCTTTGTACGAAACCCAACACGATGGTTTCTGCCATTAAAGGGGGCCATAGGGAGGTCCAGGGAAACGTTGCTTGATTCGTCCGAAATTCAGGAGTGTAGAATAGAGAATAGCTCACTTTTGCTCTATTGAACTTGTGTAGGAATGTATGCCAGGTATTTACTGACTTGTGAATCAATTGAAGCATTTGTTTTATTTATATACACTACTTGCCAATGTATTGGCTTTGTGGCCAAACTGTTGAGGGCACTGTTGTCCACTTCCACAAATCAGGTTAAGGCACTTGATGGTTTGCTTTGAAAATGTTCATGCCAATACTGAAAACCTGTGTAGACAAATGTAGGACAGTGTGAGCACAGTCATTTGCGTATATATTATGCATTTTTTGCCAACTTTGTGTAAAAAACAAGAACTATTGCTAAAATGTCGTACCCAAAGGATAAAATTTTAAACATTCACCTGTAGAAGGCTGCTGCGTGCGCAAACCCTGCAGCACCTAAATATTGCTTTTGTTTTTTTTTTCTTATTAATTGCCGTCTGTTCTTCTTCACCATCTTCTTCAGATCCAAGCAGCTTGACGACCTGCAGGACGCCAGCAAGAAGTACAACAGCATCCACAAGGACACCAACTTCTGGCTGGACGGCATGGAGCGACGCCTGCAGCAGGCCACGCTGACGGCCCGCGACTCGGGCGCCATCAAGGCCAAGATCAAAGAGCTCAAGGTAGGTCCCTCAGTTGGGCTGATTCGCCTCTTGCCACCCAGATGTACTGGAGAAATACAGGCAATATACAAAACAGTGGGCCGCCAAGTGGTTGCTATGGAAAGGCCGTTTTTTGCCGTGGGTTGTGAGAAATTGCTGACAAAAATCAAACTTGATTTATTCCCAATGTTTGTTTGTCAGAGAAGATCTGTCAGTGTATTTGAGTAGCGGGTTGAATTAATCTGTTCTTCTTTCTGTAACATGGAGTGTCCCAATTTGTCAAAAATTTCCCCAAGTTTTCTACTACGTTAATTGTGGCAAGGCGGCCTTGCTTTTGTCGACCATAAACTTCAAAAATGGCCTCTTGTTGGGGCATTGTACTGTGAATTGTCCCTGTTGGTCAGCTTTTTTACTTTGTGTTTGGTCCTAAAAATGTTTTGGCTTTAATGGCTTTAATTCCTCTTCCCAGTTCTAAACCTTTGTTTTCTTAGTCGTAAAGTGATTTGTCTAAAATGCTCCCCTTCAAAAAATAAGTTGAGTGTAAGCTTAACGCTGTCCAGGAAATGCCGTAGATGAACAGTTTTGATCTGGAAATTAGGTGGTTGTAGTTTGTGAATTATGAATTAGCATGTGGTTTTTTTTATAATTGATTTACCATTGGCAAATTTAAATCAGTGGAGCCAGTCATCAAGGTGGTCAGTTTGACAATATTTTTTGATTACAACTGTAATGACCTGCAGTATTGGCATGCCCGGTTTGCTAGGACCGTACACCATGCGTTAGACTTGACAAAGGTTTGTACACCCTACAACCATTTGCCAGAAATAACTATGAATGTATCCACAAACACCACTGTGATGATCACTGGTAACAAATCATATTTATGTCGTAACTTTTTGTCTGTATCATCTATTTTATAATGAACCAAATCAATTTACCAAGGGATAATGGAATGTGTATTCACTTAACTGCGATTTACAAATGGTACTGATTTTACGATCTTCACTGCCACACTTAAACCTTAGAGAATTTAATAGTCAATTTCGAAGATTTACCTAAGAGATAATTTACTGACCATGACAGTCATATGAGATAATTAAGGTTACAGGTAACTTCAATGCCGTGCACCGGCAAAAGCATCTGCTAAGCACTCACGTAATTGTAACACATGATTGTAAAACATTGGAAAAAAATACAATCTTAACACCTGTGGAACACCTTGTATATGAAAATACACCATCACCGACTAACCCAGTTGGTAATGTCTTCTCACCGGCCCTCTGTGTTTATAGCGGGGTCCTGAAGCAGAGGAGTTTGGATACGCAGATGAGGAACACAAACTGCCCAAATCAGTCAGCAAGGTAGTGACTCGGGTATATCACTCTTGAGGTCGAAGGTTAACCCAGCAGTTGCCATAATTACATCCACTGAATATTCATGTGTCATCATTTGCATGAAAGAAAATGGTCCATGCTACAACCATTGGTTTCAATTTCATGGAGCTGTGAAGCACAGAATCCTGTAAAGCAAATATGGGTTACCAGCCAAAAGTTTTAGTTTGCATTTATTTCAGTTGGTTGTTGGCAGTTGACCACATTAATCTAGCAATGAAAATTTTGGTCACCAGCCAAAATGTAACAGCGTATATGTTGACGGTGACTAGTACTTCACAGATTTTTGCTTGACATATTAAGCTGCTGTTGAAAGTATACCATTCTAGTCAATATGTCGCTGAATGTGTGTTGATAGTGGCTGGTACTTGGCAAATACTTTATGAGCTGCTCCATGAAGTTGGACCCAGGTGGTGGCATGGTCCATTCTGTTCACTGTTTAACACCATCACAGTAATGAAGGAGATTACCAATGCAGGATGCTTAGATCTAGAGACTGGATCATGTCGTCAACCCATCAGTCCCTCACCAACTCATCTACTAATTCATTCTCGGGCCTATCGGTTGTTGTCTAAATCTTGTTCAGGCTACTTTGGATAAATCTTTGAAGAATTTCCCAAATGATGTACACAAAAACCAAGGATGTTATGCAGTGTTTGCATTGCATTGTTCATTTGAGTGAATGCTGCCACCATGGATTAGAACACAAAGGTGATTGGCTGATGGCAGAATTATTAGCAAATCCTGCAGTAAGCTCAACAGATTACTCAAAGATGGAACGATCACTCAGACAGACTGATTGCACCTAACATATTGCTCAGAAATCAGAGTATTCCAGATCTCATTTTGATCTGTCGGATTAACATTATTCATGGAGCATTGCCCATTTATACCCCTCAGACCTAATCACCCTGCACCATCCCAAAATTCTCAACATTCCCATCGTCCCGAGTTATATATTCATAACAGTGTGTTTCATTGTCGGTCAGTTTGTAACTAATGACTTGTCTGTATTTATGTAACACTTCATCATATTGTGGGTGGAGGCCCATGTACGTTTGGATTAATTGATTTGTCAGGTTGTCGTGTGACAGTCAACTCACCAGTGAATTCCAAGGGTAGAGATCTTTGTAACTTACTGACATATTGCTGTGGCTGCAAGCTGGAAGTGTCTACCTCATTCGGCCCAAATTCAATTTTGAGGTTTTCATTACTGATGATACATGTTTCATCACTATCCATACATGCGTGTAAAGTTCAGTTTGAAGACAAGGGATTTTTGCAAGGATGACTGGAACACTCTGGTGTGGTTTGCAATTAGTATCGTCTTGGGTGTTCAATGCAAACATGAGAATTGTGCAAGGACCATCATATAACAGCATCTTGGTCTGGTTCCCCATTAATACGTGTTTGTTGGTGTGCTTTAACATTTCACCCTCACGACACATTACCCGTCTATGTGTTTGCATGTCTGTGAGTCTGATGTCATCAATAGCTGGATGATGTTAATTAATCAAAATTCCTGATGAAATTTGTGAATTTGTGATGAAATTAGAGAGTTATTTTGAAATAGGATAAGCTCTCATCTCCTTACAAAATAAAAGCCTGGTGTTTGTGATGCAAAATGTGATGTTGTACACTGTACACGGCTGTTGCTCTTTAAGATGTGAAAAATCCTAAATTTTGGGCTGCAAGTCATACAATTTTATTACTCAACAAAACTAGATTAGAAAGGACAATTCAATATTTGATCAAGTGCAGATTTTTGGTCATAAATTTGTATTTTGGTAATTAGTTATGGCTCATAGGTTTTTCAAATACTTTCCTTGAGGTTACAAAAAAGGTGGTTCAAACACTGCCCAAAATAGAAAAAGCAGCCGTTACATATATCCAATGCAAGAAAATTGCAGCCCTTTCTGTTGAAGATTGTTTTTTCACCTTGCAGACCTCAACTCAAACCGTGACAGCTAAATCTAAATGTCTTGACATCTCCCGTTGCATCTATCCATGCTAATCTTACCACACTGCTGTCCAAATGATTTACCCATCACACAGCCCCTGCTCCAAGAGGTGGACGACTATGAGCCTAACATCATCAACACCAACACTATCGGCAAGGACCTCGACCGGCTGATCAAGGATGTCTCCTCCCCGGTCTCCAGCAAGCCCCACTACTTCTCCACCCGGCAAGGCCAGGGCGAGCCAGCTGTGCCCGGCATCCCAGATGAACCTGACGAAGAGTTCAGAGGTATGGAGGGGACTTTCAACTTCATGTGGCAGACTTGTATGAAATGTACCATTGCAAACTGGCGCAGTGGAAATGTTTTCTCACCAGCTGTGCTTATAGAGGAGTCACGAAACAGGAGTTCAGGAACAAATACGAGGAAGATAAACTGCCCAACTCAGTCAGTGAGACAGTGACTTGGGTTATCACTCATGAGGTCAAAGGTTCCCCCAATAATCACAACTGAATGATGAAAAGGGTCGAGATGTTTAACTATAAAGGGAAAAGTGTTTGTGAACATTAGCTTACAGGAAATCACATGTTCGCTTAAAAGTTTGGAAGAGTTCTCAGAGAGTTTGCCCAGAGAGTAATCGCAGAGTTCTGAGGGCTCAAAGCAATCGACTCCAAACTCCTAGGAAATCTACACTGTGCTACAAGTGACAAGCACCCAGTTGTATCCATTTGCAGCATGGGCTGTGTTATAACCCTTTTGGAAACATGATACATGCAGGCCGACTTAACATAATCCTGAGATGGAGAAAATCTTGCCTTGCAATATTGACATAGTTTTATTTCTTTTTCAAGCTTTTTTAATCCATAGTCGCCTTTTTACCCTCCATTCTAGGTGAGACCCCCATCCAGCAGGAGCTGGACGAGGTCAACCGGCGCTACGAGGCCCTGCGCAAGCAGCTGCGCATCTCCCTGGACGACCTGGAGATCGCCGACCGCTGCGTGGACGAGACTCTGAACGTCCAGGACAATCTGGACTGGATCAGCGCTGTGCAGGTCAAGCTAGAGCAGACCAGGCCCCGGGCCACCGAAATCCAGCCGCTGGCCGAGGAAGTCATGCTCTTCCAGGTATGGTCACCCTCCTCACCAGTTGATTTTTCCCCCCCTCATTTGTGACTGAATCCTACAAAATGGGTCTTTAAGGCCATCATATTCTCATCAATTTCGTTTGGGTTTGCATCAGAAGGAGCAAAGGGAGGTCTTTGTTTTGATGTATCCAAGTATTTTGGTATTCTGATGAAAATGGGTACTGTGTGTGTGAAAAAGGTTGAGAGTTCTTACTGATTTACATGCTAAAGATCCTTTTAACAGGTTTTTTACTCAAAGAGTGGATCTGGTGGCTCACAATTCATTTTGTTGGGTGAAATAAGTGAGATTAAGGGGCCATGGTACCTGGACGGGACAGTATCCAACACATCACTTGTTAGACAGGTTTTGAGATTGATACAAACATTCTAAGGCTTGAAGGACTCTCTAATATCATCCATTAGCGTCCAGTCTTTTGCATGGTATGCTAAGCTGAGAAGACTTGAAGATGTAAGAAACTGACTGTGAAAAATTGGGGGATTGCTGCTATGTTTTGTGGCTGGCTGCATGATACACCAATCTGTGCTTTGTATGGAGAGATCTCAGACCGTTAGTATTGTTAATGAGAGGTTGAAGATTTCCACTCGCTGAAATGCCATTGCATTTTCTGACTTGCCTAAGAATTTTACTCTCAGTTTTGGAGAAAAGGTTTCTTTGATCATGAATTTGTAACTTGGTTAACCCTCTGCAGGAAGTGGCCTCAGACGTGGAGAGCAAGCGGCCGGACATCAGCGACACCCTGAGCAAGGTCAGCCACTTTGACCGGGAGTACGGTGAGCGGCTCAACCCAGAGCAGCGCGAGGTCCTGAACGAGAAGGTGGGCCAGATGCGGGTCGACTACGAGCAGGCAGCCCAGAATGCCAAGGACTGGCTGAAGGAGGACGTGGCCCGGCTGGAGAGGCTGCGACGGGAGGAGGAGGAGAGGGTGAGTGTCAAGTGTTGAAAGTTGGGTCATCACTCATTACTCATACTCAGATGTGTCAATTGTTGCTGGTTAAACTTGTCCTTGTTGGTTTGGTGCATTTCACTACTGTAAATTTTCTTGTCGATCCAATTTTTGTGACAGTAAAATTGAATATGCCTGGAACCCAGTAATCCAACTGTTTAGCTTTCTCAATCACAGACTGCTACTTAACATTAAGGCTGCGGCAATGCAACTATTAAGGGGCCTTTCTTTATGCACGTCAACCCTTGCACCAAGTGTTGCGTATCCGTCAAAATTGCTCTTGGCGTAATTCTGACGGCCAAACGCAACACACACATTACGTCAACAGAGTTGATTTTTGTGTCCGTGAAAATGAAATGCGTAAACGCAACACGTATGCAATGTGCAATGCACCCAAGAAATGTACATATGGAAAGGCGCCTTTACCATCATGAGAGGGTTGAATATCACACATTTCTAAGGGTATCAAAAATGCGGTGTGTTAGGAAGTTTAGACTATCCTCTTTCTTTTAGGTACTAGACTCCTGGTTGCTAACTATGAGTGCCCACATCATCATTAAATTCTAGTAAATTTATCAGAATCCGACCTCGTCAGCTGCATCTTTTCTTCTGAGATGTGCCAGAAAGTAAGGACTGGTGAATAATTACCAATATTCTAAGATCTCTACTTCCAGTTTGCCCTCTCTCTAATGTACTAAACCTTGCTTGCAGCAACATAAATGGCTTCATTAGGCCAGTTTAATTAACCCTGTTCAAATGGTCATTGTTGTTTGGTTGGTTTGCGCAGAGACGCATCGAGGCCCTGATGAAGGAAAAGCTGATAGTCTTGCTGGAGTTGATGGACTGGATCACCCAGGCCGAGGAAGCTCTGGGCTCCGAGCAGCCCGAGGCAGAGAGGTCCCAGCCCCTGGCAGCCCAGCTGGACAGCCACAAGGTATGCAGCTTACTTCAGGGAATGCTGAGCAGATTTCCATGCTGAGTAATAGATGGTTGGTAACCAGCACCATGCTGTTGAAATTCCAGTGTATTTTGGTTGGTAATCTGCTTTTTGATATGCCAGTTGTGTCTGCGGTTAGCATGTTTTCGTGCAAAGCAACTCCAGACAACCATTTCATGAATGTACCTTAAGCTCAAGAAGTGTTGAGGCAAAAACTAGTTGAAATGTTTTGTTACCTTCTAAAGAAATATGCTAACTGGTCATAATCAGTATTATATTTCGTTATGGCTTAGGGGAGAGCCTCTTATGTGGATGCATTCTCTGAGGTGTTTATTCAATTCAATTTCTGTGAAAAGGTTTTAAAAAAGCAGGTCCTGAAAAATAGATGATGTCTCAAAGATTTCATGTAGGACTCTGAATTTCTAGTTTTTAAATGGTAGTTGGAAAAGAATGTTATACATAGAAACCTGTCATGAAACCGTGAAAGAAAAAAGACACTTTTCCAAATTGAAAGTGAGATTTATACATTAATATGATTTAATGGACTTTGTTATATGGGCCAAATGACACTTGAATAAAACATAGCTTGTTTGTATTGTATGTATAAAATGTAATCATTTCTTTCTCTGAATTTGACAACTAGGTTCTTCACGCAGACATCACTGCTCACCAGCAGCCTGTCGCCCAGTGCGTCCAGGATGTGGAGGCCTTCCTCAAGCAGTACGGCGAACGCATCAGCCGTGACAACGCCTCGAAGCTGGCCGAGGGCAAGGACAACCTCAAGTCACGTTACGACGTGGTGCTGACCCAGTCTTACAACCGGCTCAACACCCTGGTGCCGGCCCTGGAGGACCTGGGCAAGTACGAGAAGGACGCCACAGGCTTCGAGGACTGGCTGCAGGAGGCAGACTCCTCGCTGCGGGAGCTGGTGGAGCATGTGGGCACGGACTACCCGACGCTGAGGGGACAGCTAGACGAGCACCGGGTCTTCACCGAGGACCTGAATGACCAGAAGGGCGACCTGAAATTCATCAGCATGAGCGGCCAGAAGTTTGTGGATCAGTCCAAGGTATATGCATCAACTTACCTTTATTGTATCCTCTCAATTTCTAAACAGTCTCAGTTTTAAAGTTGCTTCACATAATTTTGTGTTTCGGGAACAAATTTGAACATTTCCTTGTAATGTGATTAAGAATCACAAGCTCACAAAAAGGAATTATGCAGAGCATCCTTTAATTTTAAACCATTCACAGTATTTCAATCGTGCCAACTGATAGCAAGCAGTTGGAAAAGTTTTAACGTCAAAATTCAAATTTACCCCTAGTGGAGTTGCAGAGGTCTGAAATCATTCATTCACCATGCCACTGTAAGAGCATGTGGAAAACAAAGCTCCTGTTTCCTCCTTGGACGTCCGAGAAACAGACATTTTATTGCAACAGAGGTGTCAAGGAAGTGTGAAGTGACATTGAGAAATGACAGCCGCTTGTAAATTGGGCCAAAGTTTGACCTTTTGAAAAATTGAGTTACTGCAATTGAAATAGCAATAGTATAGTAAACATATTTGAAGTATTGTGTGCACGTGTATATCCTCTTTGGTTCTTTAAAATATCACATTTGGCGTAGTGAATTTGCTAACATGACGTAACACCACATCTTGCTTTCATTGTCCAGGCCTACAGGAAGATGCTGGCTGACTTCCGCACTGACGTCCTCTCCCGCCAGTTCAACCGCAACTTCCAGGAGGACCCTGAGCCCACCATCATCCGGGAGCGGACGGCCGCCGTCCACGCCACAGTGGACAACCTGCGGACCCGGTCCCAGGCCCATGGCGCCCGGCTGAGGGAGCTGGCCGAGAAGCACCGGCTCTACAACGAAGCTGTCGGGGTGTTCTCCACCTGGCTGCCAGACGCCGAGGCCAAGCTGGGGAGGCTGGAGCAGGAGCCAATCAGTGCCGATCCCATCACCATCCAGAAGCAGATAGACCGCATCCAGGCAAGTCGCAGAGCAAGAGAGTCCAGATTCAGGAAGAATTACACTGAACATTCTTGCTGAAAAGATCATGGGGATGAGCTAGAAAACTTGAAAGTCTCAGCAATTTGACTTGGTGACTGCTTTATAATGTGTATATGTTGAATTTTTAAGCAAGACAGTTAACATCTTTGAATATTCTATCTCAGGAATGGCTCCAAGAAATGAGCTCAAAATTTAGAAAACAAGGGCCATTTTTCAATACTCAACTTCATCTCTGTCTCAGACTTCGTGTTGGAAACCTTGATTGTGGGCCTAAAGCGTTCAACTTAAATTGAAGTACCGTAATGTTTGGCTCTTTTGCATCTTACTTGATTTTTGTGCCACTGTCAAACTTACTATTGCGCTTGCAAGTCAGGAAGTGAAAAAAACAGTTGAAGCCTGAGATGGAGCCCAAGTCGAGTATTGGAAAATGGCCAAGAGTTAGCATAATAGGCCTATTTACCGATGACGTCACACTTTGTTTACACATGCACTCTCCTATGGAGCCATTTGTGGGTCCACAATCCACTGAGCACCATAGGAAAGCACCCACTCAGGCAGTCTCCTTCAATCTGCGACTCCCAAAGTGGCAAGCAATGTCTGATACCCCAACAATTCAGAAGTCTGAGCTGAATGCGCCGACAACTTGCATATGTCAAGCACAGCAGTGGTGCACTGGTGGAGTAGTAGAAATCTGAAAGAATGAAGCATGCGTATACCTTCTCCGGCCACTTCAATGCAGTGCTGTTTTCACACTCCATGCCAATGTGCCAAATGAAGTTGTTCACAAAAATTGACCAGAGTGCACGGAGGGATAAGGAGACATGCTATTGAACAGGATTTTTTGTTGGAGTATTTTTTAATGATGGCTTGTCTTGTGGTGTTTTTTTTTTTATAGGACTTCACTGATGATGTGGTGGCCCACGCCAGTGATTTGGAGAAGGTCAAGGACACGGCCACCGACCTGACCGATACCCAACCGGAGACTAAACCCCAGGTCGACCAGACAACAGGTAAGAGAATCAGAGTTAAAGAGCTCTATTCCGATCAGGAATGTCCTCCAGCGGCTTTCCAAAACAAGTTCAGTGCAAGCTCTGCCTCACAAGTTGTATATATTTAGGGAGATGAGTGATTGGTTTCATTTTGATAGCTTAGGGCTTGGCCAAGAACTCTGGCAGGAATGAGAAATAAGTCAGTATGTTATTTGTTAATTAATATTATAACAAATGAAAATCACTTAACCCCGCAAAATACTGATTTTCTACCCCACTGATCTATCCAACCTTGTGATTGTAATTTTAGTGTTCATTAATGACTTTGTTCTTGGTAGACTCAGTACTTTTATTTGCTTTCCCCCCCACCTCGTACAGCCGACCTGAAAGAGCGGTACGAGGACCTGCTGGCCCGCCTGAAGGCCCGGCTGGCCCAGCTCCAGCAGGCCCTGGCCGACTCGCAGAGCCTGCAGGAGCGTCTGGACCTGCTGCTGCGCTGGCTGGACCAGGCCGAGCGTGACGTGCACAAGATGGACAAGGGCTCCGTCATCGCCGCCAAGAAGGAGCCGCTGCTGGAGAACATCGAAGAGCACATGGTGAGAGATGGTCACCGTTTTGTGTTTTTTTTTCTTTTTTTGTACAAATGCTTTCTTCCACCATTCTTTTTGTGATGTCCCAAATATCTGAAAACTCACAAACAGCCGAGTAGCCACCCTAGTAGGAAGTGTGCATCTGCTTCCTGTTCCTTCAAAAGATTTGGAATTGCAGGCTTCCCCACAATTGACGCCGTTTTAAAAATCCCGCTGTACCTTAGTCTGGAACCTGACAGATAAGCCCCGAGTGCACATAGGAGGCAGTGACCAAAAATATGACTGCATGGTAAACATTACTCTCGAGCAATGCTGAGAGCTCACTGACTGTGTGGGACATTTTATACAATGCACAGGGCTAAAAGGACTTGTGGCGAAAATGTCACAGTCCCAAGGACAAGGGTTAAGTTCCACAGGGTGCCCATCAGACCAAACTTAAGTTGCTCAGCACGAGACAGTTCCAGGACAGAAGTTCTTGTGGCTAAAACTGCTTGTGATTGGAGTTGTTGATTTGTCCTTAGCACGTAAACTTGCTATAAAGCAAGTATCATCCTCAGCAGTCTCAAATTATAATCTGATTTAAATTCTACTTGGATTTGAATTTTAAACATTTTTGAAGGGTATAGATCTAAGTTTGGGACCAAATTTGTTTGGGATTGCAGCTGATCCACACTGACATCGAGGCCCACAAGCCGGCCGTGGAGTCCGTCCAGCGGGCTGCCGCCCAGTACCTGGAGACGTCCAAGCCCAGCGAGGCCAAGATCGTCATGTCCAAACTAGACAGCATCAACAGCCGCTATGGCCAGGTGGCTGAGGTGACGGACCGGCACGGCGACCAGCTACGGCTGCTGCAGAGCAAGCTGACCGACTTTGACCGGGAGGTGGACCAACTGGAGGACTGGGAGATGCCGGTCATCGAGGCGCTGGAGGGGCGTGACCTGATGAGGATGGACATGAACCAGCTGAGTCGCAAACTCAAGGTAAGTCAAACCTGTCGTGCCAGGCGCGCATATGATCTTCTTCATTTGTGATGGGATCCTGCAAAATGAGTCTTAGAGCCGTTCCTCCCATGAAGTATATCACTTATTTTGGCATCGTGATAAAAACAGAAATTATACGGGTGAAAAGCGTTCTCTAAAGACCTAAAATTATGTACTTGGTTCAGTATCGCTGTAGAATTTGAATTTGTTGTTGAGGGACCCATTTTGATGCATGATTATGCTTCTTGCGTGTCATAAAGTGTGCATTAAACGTGACTTGATGTCATTGAATCCTTACTCTGTGTTCATAGTTAAGCTCTTCGGCCCCAGTTGTGATATGTTACCATGTCAAGCTGCTGCATATCTCACCATAATCTGACACCACTGTAAAACGCAGCCGTCCTCAAAGTACTTGTAGACCATGCTAAATCCTCCGGGTTACACATTTTATCGTGCATGAAGTTAGGCATATGACGTGTACGTGTTCATGCTGCGAGTTTGTTAAATTATCAGAGTGGGGGTTAATGTGCAGGGCCCAGAGCACCGACTGGGATCATTTCCGTTGACCCCTTCTGATTTGATCCACAGGACTACAGGAGCCAGCTGGAGAACCACCGGCCCCAGTACAAGTTGATCCACCAACTGGGTGAGGACATTGTCACCAAGACCAAGGCCAAAGACACCAGCCACATCAATGACGTGCTCAGCAACGTGGACACCAACTGGAAGACGCTGTCCAACCTCCTGGAATTGAGGTAACAAAAAGGATATCTTGAGATTCATGGAGACTTCGGTATGTCAGCCGTGTGTGGGCACTTTTGGGCCTACTCACAGACATTAGACCTGAGGACTTGAAATTCTCTAAGATGTTGGCCACTTCGATACTAGGACATAATAATGCGACTTTTAATACTGTCTGATTAGCTTGGCATCCAAGCCTGATTCTGTCTTGCATAGAATTAAATGTGCTGTCCACCGTGTCAGAGGTCACAAATATAGTGTCACATTGACTGTTCTCAAACTTGGCTGTGGGCCAAGTTCAAACCAGTTCACAGTAGTGTGTGACCTCTGGATTGAAGTTATAACACTGCAGAGCCAGTTTTGCACACGTTCTACACTTGTCCTGAAAACATTGTGAGAGGAAGTTTTGGCCAGGGTCCTAACACCATTTTCATTTTATTTTCATGATTTCAATATAATCACCCTGGTCAATCAGCAGTCGATACTTGTCACGTAAATGTTGGGGATGGGAGGAGTTCTGCAGAAGTACATCTCCCAAAACTGAGTTTTTTTTTTCTTTGTGCAGGGAGAATCAGCTGGATCAGAAGCAGCGAGCCACGGCCAAGTACAACGAGGGCTACCGTGACACCAGCGGCTGGCTGACCGGCATGGAACGCAAGCTGAGCCAGCTTCAGCCCGTGGCCATGGACGGCAAGACGCTGGACAGACAGGAGAAGCAGCTCAAGGTAAGAGGCTGCGGATACGAGAACTTAACCTTCAGATCAGTATCGGGTGGCAGTTATGAGAAATGCCGGACACCAGGGCTCTGGTCTCTTGTCGATTTTTGGGGATCAGAAGTTGTAGATAGAATTTCAGATTGCTCTCCCCAAAACAGCTTTGGTGATGCATTGACATGTGATTGAGATACAAAAATTCTTTTCGTTTTGATTGTTCCCCATTAAATTCTTTTCAGACCAACTTAACATTGGTCAGTTTCTGCTCTGCCTTTGCGTGGTATTTTCCGACACCTTAAAGTCAACAAGCATCTTTTTTTTCTCTCAGTTTCTTTAATGAACCTCACAAGAAGGTCAAGTGTAGAAATAAACCCTCTCTACAGAGAGGTTAGATTGAACGGACCTCCAATCCTCGCAGCAGTTATTGAAACTAGAAATTGGGTGTTCATCTACTGATTGTGGATTGATATTGGGGCCCTCTTTGAATGAGAATAATCCCAATGGTGCAAGAAATTCTCTGGAAAACGTTTCCTTACAACAGTGGCCAGCAGTGTTAACAAACAGCTCTACCATTCGTTTCCTTAATTTTTTTCTGATTCACTTGTGCAGCCCTTCCAAGTGGAGGTGGCCACCTACAAGCCCGTGGTGGAGGAGCTGAATCGTGTGGGCAACGGCCTGGACGTGCTGCTGCGTGAGCTGCAGGTTCCCCTTGCCACCAAGCCCCACTACCGCTCCAGCCAGCTGAGTGGCACCATGACCAGGGAGCAGATGGAACAGCAGGAGATCCAGGACCGCATGGACAAGAGCATTACCCAGCTGGAGGCACCGGGTGAGACAGGGACCCAGACCCCATCGCTTCCCTCATTCTGTCCTTTTTTACACCCAGTTTTGAGTATATTTTTCAAAGTTGAAAGTAAATTATTCTTGTTTTTCAAATTAAGAAATTTGAGGAGAAAAATCACCTTGGCTATTTATATGTTCCCAGTAAAAAAGTATCAGGCTGATCCAAATTGCTGGTTTGAAGGGTAACTTAACAAGCTGTGCACCCAAAGCATGAACAGGATGAGCAGCCATTGTAGTAACTGCCTCTTGTCATTTTCTCAAATTGACTTTGCCCTTCACAGAGGATTCGGACATCCAGCGCCAGCTCTCAGACACCAACCGGCGCTACGACGCCCTCAAGGTCAAGTTGGCCGACCGGCAGGAGGACATTGACCTGGCCCGACTCTTCCTGGACCGACTGGGTGTGGTCAATGACCGGCTGGACTGGTGCGCCACGGTGGACAACCGCCTGATGAAGAAGAAGCCAACCAGCCGGGAGCTGGAGCCGCTCAAGAAGGAATACTTCCAGTTCCAGGTCAGTCCGCTCTTTCGAGTTCAAAGAAAGAAACAAGTTGCAACTATGCAGGAAAGAGAACTGTGTGGGACAATTCAAGAACTAGGGTTGGAGATCTCCATTGATTTTAACACTAGGGTTGTATGTTCAAATCCCACCTCGATTCAGTTTTCTCTTGTTTAATAGACAAGTTTCAGAAAAATCCTGTGGAGTCAGTCCCCTTGGTGTACGTGCTAACGTAGATGAGGATGTTTTGACCTGGTTTATACTGTCGTTGTTTGGAAATTTGTTGCGAAAAAGTATTGTTTTGATCTGTTGACTGTTCCCTGAAAGTTTGCAACAAAAGCTCATCTGACTTGGTGATTATCAAGTACATTGTTTTCATACCATTATGAAAGCTTTACTGACATTCTTGAGGTCTTGAAGAATTATTCAGAACAAGTATAACCACCTTTGCATGCGACCATCCAAGCTTCAACAAATTTCCTTTCTTTGGCACAGACCAAATCTGGATATCAAATGCACCAGAAAGTTACATGACTCCTCTGCTCTGAATATTTGAAATACTGGCCAAACTTGAAAGTAGATGCATAGGTAGGGTCCAAAAAAAGCAAAGCATCTTGTCACGCAAGGAAACCTCTGCCATTGTCGGTCTGTTCCTGCGAATCATTGCCTTTTTTTGTGTCTCTTTCCTCCCCCCCCAGGATGTGCACGACAGCATCGGCTCGAACAAGCCGGCCGTCCTGGAGACCATCGTCATGGGCGAGCAGTTCCTGCAGGAGAACCGTAGCCGCCTTTCGCCCGAGCAGCAGGAGGAGATGCAGCACAAGATTGACGAACTCCGTATCTACTTCGACCAGGTGGATGGCCGCAGCGACAAGATCAACACGGACACCCAGCGCACCATCGACCGACTGGAGAAGGAACTGGAGGAAGAGGTAACAAATTTAAATCTCCCCCCCCCGCTCCAAAATGACAGTGTCCGAGTTACATGGCTACGGTTAGAGCTAACACATGCATCTTTGAAGCCACTAGCTGGCAGCTCTTAGAGGTGCATATGTTGTTGTGAGCCGTAGCCAGGTTATTTTGGACATGGCCGAAGAAGTGGACATTGGCTCAAGGAATTTTGTGACATGTTGGTGACCTTTTGTTTTGGGTCCTGCACCAGTCTTTCATTCGGGCCACAAATAATGATGGTGTAGTTGGCAGCATACATCTTAGGTTCACCACAGTTTGATTCAGGGAACAACTCGGACTGTTCACACTTAGAAAAAACCTTGATAAGCTATGCGCTCCAGTGTGGTGCCCTTACCTTTTAATGCACACCAAACCAGGAGTAGCTCTTTGGGCAGTAACAGCTGTTTTCTTCCGACAGGGAAATAGACTTTCTTCCAAAGGTACATGTGAAAAGAAAGAGTCTGATCATTGTGGGGTTAGAGGTCACCCCTTAATCTCCCAGGCGCAAATCACACAGAGCTATGTTAATCATAAATATGTAAAGCTATACACTTCTAGGAAACCAAATGCACATCAAGCGCTCCAGTTTCAACTTTTAAAATCTCCTGTATGGATCCACAATGTATTTCATTTTAAAGAAATTGTCACAATTTGTTTCATCAAGATGTCAAAATAAGGCAAACGTGTTCATCTTCACTCATGTGAAAACCAAACAAATGAAATCAAAAGTTCTGTAGACTCATTTGTTAACTTGTATGTATTGTGCACGTTTTCCTTCATCATTTCCTATATTTTTCCTTTATCATTTCCTTTATTTTTCCTTTATTATTTCCTTTATTTTTCCTTTATCATTTCCTTTATCATTTCCTTTATTTTTCCTTTATCATTTCCTTTATTTTTCCTTTATCATTTCCTTTATCTTTCCTTTATCAGCGGCGCCTGCGCAAGCTGTACAACGATTCTACCCAGTCAGTGGTGACTCTGACTGACTGGGTGACCGAAGTGGAGAAGCGTCTGGCAGCCGAGCAGCCCCAAAGCGAGGAGGTGCCTCAGCTAACCAAACAGACAACGGACCACAAGGTAAATTCTACAGTCTCACTAGGATTACCAAGAGATTCTTCCTAAACTGAATAAAAGCTATAAAAGAATACACATAGCTATTGTGTATGAATTCTTTAGGCTACTGTTGGGCATAATGACAATACAAGAGCCAAGGAGAAATTGTTGATGACACTTGCTAACAGTTTCTTTGCAAAGAAAATACGGATGTCACGGATATAGGCCTCGAGACATAAAATGATGCATAAAGTTAACTGGGCCCTCTCAGAATCATTCAAACTCGTAAGAAAAGATTGATTAAAAAGTGCCTTTGTGAACTCGAGATTCAGTATAGGATATGGTACACAGTGATTCAAAAACAAAGAACATGGGATGTCCCTGACCAGCTTGCATCAAAATGTGCACAAACACATAAAATCTTTGGGTGAGAGGAACTCATCCAAGTGTGGCAGCATAGTGGCAATGGTCTTCAAGTCTCCTTTAATCGGTTTCATACACAGGGCTCAGTTTTTTCTTTTCTTCCAGTAAACTTGCGAATCTCAACCATTAGTGTAGGGGATCAACTGTTGTGCTGGCTGCCAACATTTTGCTGCTTCACAGACCCGCTAGTCATTTTTATTTTTCAAGTTGTTTGTTTTCACATATTCTAAACTTAGTGTTTTTTTTGGTTGTTTCTTTTTCCCCCCCCCCCAGTCCCTCCATACTGACATCCTGAGCCGTCAGCAGCCCGTCATGGAATCCATCCACACGGCCACTCAGCTCCTGGACCAGTACAACAACCGACTGAAGGACCAGGACATGTTCAAGCTGCGCAACCTGGCCGATGACCTCAAGGACCGCTACGACCAGGTGTTGGGCCAGTCCTACGGCAGGCAGAACAAGCTGTCCTCGCAGACGGAGGAGCTCAAGCGCTTCGAGGGTGACAGAGGCGAGATGGAGACGTGGCTGACGGCCGCCGAGCAGACACTGGAGTCATCCCAGCGCCAGGTGGGCACCACGCCAGAGGAGCTGGAGGCCCAGTACTCCCAGCAGAGAGCATTCGCCGATGACGTGGTGAACCACGGCGCTGACCTGAAGTACCTCAACAAGTCTGGGGAGAAATTCTTGGACAGTGCTAACGTAAGTGGCGTCAAAATTGTAACTAAGTGAAGCTGCTAATTAAGTCATCTCTCACCCCTTATTGATGTTGCATTGAACTTCTGCCTGGCACCTTTGTCCTGCTAGAGTGTGTAAGGCCAGTTGATGTTGAGCTATTGCCTTGATGCCCTCCACCAACAGACTTTTTATCTAATCCTTTCTCTCTCTCCTCAATTGCACCATGCAAAATTATTTTCTCAACACCGTCATCCCCTCTTCAGCATATTTACCCCTTTGACACACAAGTTTATCCTGTCATGTCAGCCCTCCAATATGTTGAAAAACATCCGTTCGTGCACAAAGTTCATTGTTGCCGAAAATCTTTCCATTCAGGTGTTTTTGTGACATGCAGATTAAAGATGTTATGATATAATTAAGACACAGTACTTGGTCCACCAAGCCAACTGATATACACATATCCAAATGTCATCAAGTCATTTAGCCTGTCCCTGGTTTTTGCTTCAACAGGGGTACCGGGAAGAGCTGGGTGATTTCCGCACGGCCGTGCTGACCCGCGAGGAGCAGCGCGCCTTCCGTGAGAACCCGGAGACCAACCTGATCCGCGACAACGTCGGCGTCATCAATGAGCGCTACGACAACCTGAAGGTGCGGACCAACGACCACACCAACCGGCTCAGCACCCTGCTGGACAGGCACCGCCGCTTCAACACCAACGTGCGGGGCACCGACCGCTGGTGCGACGAGACCCGGGTGGAGTTGGACCAACTCCTAGCCGAGCCCATCGCCGCTGAGCAGGTCAACATCCAGAGGCAGATCAACGAGCTCAAGGTATCCACGAGAGACGAAATTGAGTCTCAGAGGCAGTGCGCCAGACTATGGAAAGGCCACCATGGGCATCATTTTGATTTGGGTTTTATACAAGCAAACTGGTGCCAGGTTCGCACAGAACATCTCTTTCGGAAAAGTGTGGTTTCAATTAGAACCAGTGGTTTGTGATTGACCTTTGCGACCGTTTGCGGTGGTTGACCAGTATGCCCTGAAGAAGATTGCAGGATGCTGGTCAAAATGTTAATTCCAAACCAGTGGCCCTTATGAGGACCGCACTTCCTCTCAAAATAGATATCTTTCCTGATATGTTGCCTCTGCAAACATCACCAGCTCATACGTTTGACATGCAAAGGTGCAAATCTTGCTTAATTAGCTAACTTTTAATACCTCTAATGTAAACCTTCATGTTGACTAATTTGTCTGAAATATCAGAATAAAACAATTCAGTCATCCTTTCAGGCTTTGATTTGGTTGTATCGTCCAACTTCTCCTTACCAATGTTCAGCATGTGTTAACATTTTTTTTCCAGGCCCTGAATGATGACGTTGTCCTCCATGGTAAAGATGTCCAGGCCGTCAAAGACTCGGGCGATGAGGTCATCGACGTCCAACCAGAGATCAAAGAAACCGTCAACCGAACCAAAGGTATTCAACTAAGCAAGTGTCATTTTGCGCAGCATGTCAAGAAGCCATTTCTATAATTGATTGAATAACAGTCAAAAATTAAGTTTAAAACAGCATTTTGAAGTACAAAAATGCACAGCTATTCATTTATTCAAATATTCAAATTAATATACAGTGTCAATAGTTTTATAGAAAACATATTTCCAATTCATTTTGGGTAATCATTGGAAGCGAAAAAGCATCACCCTTTTGCAAGAAGAAATCCTCGCAGCATTGGAAAATTTTAAAGTCGTGTTCTTTCTAAAAAAATAATCAGGTTTTTCGGAAAGCCACAGGCACATTTGAATTTGTGTACTTATGTGCCAAACACTGTTTTGTCAGATAAAGAGCAGATATTGACATTTATATGACTTGCTTTCCCAGCCGGCATCCAGCAGAAGTACGACGCATTGGAAGGCGACATCGCTGACCGCATGCGCAGGCTGCAGAAGGCCCTGGCCGACAGCCAGTCAGTCCAGGAGAGCCTGGACGGCCTGCTGAAGTGGCTGGAGGACAAGGAGAAGGCCCTGCTGCACATGGAGAAAGGAACAGCCATCGTGGTCAAGAAAGAGCCGCTGGTGGAGAACCTTCAGGAGTACAGGGTAAAAGATGATCCCCCAACTTGAAATAAGTGAGGCTTAAGTCGCAAGAGCCTCTTTTAAATCAGAGACCTTTGAGAGAATCTTACATAGTACAAATCACTAGGAAGCCTCAACATTTTTCACCCACATTATGTCCATTTTTATCAGGATACCAAACTGAGTGATGTATTGAAACAAAGAGCTCAGTATGCTTTTTCTGATACAAACTAAAAAGTTACTGAAGAAGGGACTTTTGAACTTTTGGGGGCTTTACAAATCTTAAATTTGCCTCTTGTCTTGGGGCTTTGTCTCTGACGTTTGTCTTGGGCGCTTTGTCTTTGACATTGAGATCACTTGTAGGCTTGTAAATATTGGGACTAAATGAAACTGCTTCCATCTTTGCATTGATGCAATTTGGTTCTTCTCTAGCAAAACGGAACTGTTGTTGGACCAACATCTCCAAAGTCAGAGGTTGAAGTAAGGAGAAAGTTGAAACAAAGCTGCAGTTGAGAAATCTCTTTCATGAATTATTTGTGTCGCCAGTTCCCTCCTCCTTAAACTACGGATGTAGATGTTGTCGTAAATGGGTTGAAACAACATTTGAACGTCAGTAATTTGTTTTTGCAAAATGCTGTTGAATGAAATTAAACTCATCTAGATTTTGAGCATAACTTTATAGTTTGATGTACTTACTTATACTCTGAGCGAAAGGCCAACACCCACTTAAGAAAACTGAATCCATCCAAATCCATCCCTGTTTTATTCATTTGTCTTGATGCCATAGACAAAATTCCACGAATTGCATTGTATCAAAACTGGCCTGTAAACACTTTTGTGTAGTCCGTACAATGTTAACGTTACCCCTGGATTTTGTCTGCTCTTCCTCAGCTCCTGGAGAAGGACATCGAGAACCACCGCCCAACCATTGACCGCGTTCTGCGCTCCACGGCCGACGTGATCCGCCAGCTCAAGCCGGAGGAGAAGGCTATCTACCAAGACAAAGTGGACAACTTCCAGGACCGCTTTGGCGACCTTACGACCTCGCTCAAGAGGCACGGTAAGAAACTTGACACTTGTACATGCTTGACGTTGGTTCTTTGACATTTGCCCCAAATCATCATCTTCCAGAAAAGTGGTAATGGTTGATTAACCACTTGCTGCCAGGGGACCCATTTTCGAGCACGTAGGCAGTAGCACTTGTTAATTGTAGGGTGTGGAAGTATTACAGTGTACAATGCACACTGTAGAATGTAAAATTGATTCCTCAAAAATTGTTTGTAGCTGGTGTACAATTTGTAGTCTTGTAATACTCTAATCATAATCTTGGCAAACCA